TATTATTAGTAGTAGTAGTAGTAATAATAGTAGTAGATAATTTTTATCGAGCTTTTTTTCTCGCTTAGAAATCAGAAAAAATCTATTAAATCACATTCCATTTTGTACAAAATAAACACACATGTGCATGATTCCAGTGAGAGACAGCGAGTGAGCGAGTGGGCCAGCCAGCGATAAAGCACATGCAGGAGACAATTGAATTTTTGCTTAAAGTTTTGTCAAAATAAACATTTATTTTTTGTGTGCAGAGCAGTTCATAGTCCATAAGATTGTGATTGTTATTATTCGAAATCTTTTACTACACATCTGTTTCTGTGTGTGTGTGTGTCGTTAGGTAAGTCAATAACTGCATACATAGGTGTATATACTCTCTCTCTCTCTCTCACACACACATTGTGTTCTCTTTTGTGATCTATGCAGAATGAGAGATAACTAGTTAGTTAGTTAGAATATGAGAAATCACATCTTATTGATTTTCAGTATTAGCCTATATATAAATCAGTTTGAATAAACGAAGAAATAGTTTTAATGCTGAGAGAGATTTTCTTCTTTTTTCATTATCGAGTAATAGAGATTGTACAATTTGATTGAAATGATGAATTGGTCAATTATAGACCAGTATTAGAAACTTGGGACTCATCAATAGTGTGCATCTAGGAACTTTGCACGAGAATGCTTAACCTGTAGACAATTGAGCTGGTATGTAACGGTGTTATACTATCTCACTTTAATCCATCCCTTAACTTGTACGACCTTAACCGCTGTCTTCGATGAGTGGCTGGCTACACTCGTCAGAGTTGAACTCCATTAGTCCTAACTTCTCACCAGAATTTCCACCCAAATCCCTTACACTAGTAAGTATATAATTTCTCAATCAAACTATTCAGTCAGATTAATAGTTGAAGAATGGATCACACACACACACAGTTGCACATAAGCTACTATTTACATTCAATAGGTTTTATCTTATGTCAAAATGACCACTGTAGTTGTAATTGTTAGCGTTTAGTTATCGCAAGTTTTCCCATACAAACAATGCCAAACAGTTAGATTTGATCAGTGCAGAATGAAAAACATGAAACCATCTAAAATTTACAATAATATATGTTCGGTTTTTATAAATCAAAGTGAACAATGCTGAAGATGACTAGTTCTTAGCTAATTTCCACCAATTTATGACGTAAACCTTTTTTCACACGTCATATTTAATTTTATTGCCAAAAATAATTCTAGCTATATATATGTATTCGATTTATTTTTCTTAAAAATGGTTTATTTTTGAAATAAAATTAACATTTCAATACCGTTCTTTCAATAGTCATCATATTCAATTTTACTGAATAATCTGTTTAAGTTAGCGTTTTCTTACTCTTGGGGACGTTAGCTCTTCAGAACTCATTTGATAAAGGCCTTAATTTTGGATTTTATTCATGGGCTGATTAGTTGACCTTGAGATCACATTTCACCTCCACCGAAATCCTTGGCTGTGATTGGTTGATGTGTAATTTTAGTATGCTATTTTCTGTAGCTCTCCGATGGTTTGTAGATAAACTCGATTTGTGTGCTTGAGATCATTGTGTGCTGGCTGGGTGTTTGTAGAAAACACTTTCTACGCTATTTCAAGACTTCTTCGTTAGTTTCTTTGGGTCAACGGATCAGAGTAGCCAACCGTGTCACTGCGTCATTGTCTCGTTCTCGTTTATTGACTAAGGTGAACTCGTGATAGCATTCAAGCATATCAAGTGACGAGCATAACACTTACTAAGTTGACTTTTTGTACGAGATGCTGAAACTGACCCTTCTTAGAACCAACAATAAGCTTAATAATAATTCCGGTACATTGATAACCTATTCTACCTTTCTGGTATTCTATTCACTTCTATTGTACATTAATTCAAGTAAATTTCATTTATATCCTGTTGGTTATCACTTATTCAATTAGTGTATACGTCATATTGTAATTACTACTTATATATACATATATATATATATATATATATATATATATATATATATAAATATACACAGTAGTTAATTGTCGTTTTTTATTTCAACATGTGAACATGTGAAATCATTGCCATCTCTCTCTAACTCTCTCTCTCTATCTCTGTCTCACTCACTCACTCACTCACTTCAAACAGTAATAAAATACAAATTAAGACGAAATAATAATTTTCATCTTCCTGTCGTAATAATAAATAATTAATGGTCATTTTGTTGTACAGAGAATTGCGTATACAATTAAATTCTTGCCATTATTATTAACATTGACAATTGAACACCACCTGTTAATCATATTGCGTTACATTGGTGGTAAACATACACGTACATTAAAAATGTGATTGAACATTTATCAAAAAAATTTTTTTTATTCAATTTTCAATTGGGAAGTCTTTTTTTGTTTAAAATTGTTATAAGCATAAACATACGAATCATTTTCTCATTCATTAATTTTTGATATACGTCATCTATTTTCATGGAAAATATATATATATACATGATGTTTATAATTACCATTTATGCATACTTATATACTACTTATACAATCAAAAATATAGTAGTAGATTTGAATGAAACAAGAGGAAATTTCTGATTTTAAAAATATTATTATTAATAATTAAAATAGTGATATTGCGAATCATCGCACATTCACAATGGTTGAGGACAGAGAAAGATGATGGATAGATAATCTGAGTATCATTATAAAGCGCGCGCGCGCTTATTTTTAAAATGTCCTCCGATGTTGATAAATAATCATTGTTAATAAACTATTCATTTGAAAAAATTGACAGTTTGAATGATGGATGAATGCATAAAAATCACAAGTGATTTGCACATCACATAATCGACAGAAAATTAGTTTTAAATTTATCTATTTATTTGATAATTGATTATTGAACAACTTTCATATTGAATTGAATTGAATTGAATGAGGTGGTTGACAAAACAAGAATTTCATCTGTCCATTAATTTGTGCTTACATGTGTGTGTATGTGTGTGTGTTGGTGTAGAGATGGAAGATGGTGTTTGTGTGTATGTGTACATGTGTGTGTGTGTGTTTGCAAACATGAATGTAAGGCATAGATGCGATTGAAATGCAAATTCCCCTTTGAGAAAGAGTAAACTATTTCATTAGTAAAGTAACAATTACATACTAACTAATAAATACATCAATCAAATTTAGTTTTTACACTAGGGTCATTTTATCAATAATGAAGCAACAGTAATTATTGACAAGTTTAGTTATGTATGATAAATATATGAAATAAATTATTATTACTATTATTCTCTAATAGTTAAAACTGTATTATATACAAACTAATTTTGTATGTTAGAAAATGTTACATTTTAGATAACTACTAGGTTTCCTTAGTTTGTAGTATGAACAGTTCTAATTAAAGACAATGGTGGCAAAGATTTATGGTAGAACTGTGAAAGGCTGAGAGATTCATTTGAGAGGTGGTTGTGTGTTTTCTGAGTTAGTTGAATGAATTAGGATTTCTGTACTGACGGTTATTAAGTTAGTTAGTTCAACAAACCAATACTTTTTAAATTGTTGATCACTTATCGCGATCTGTGACAGAGGATGTGTACTATGCATGTGCTAAATTTTGAGTTTAACAATTATTTTGTATTCTGTCATCTTGTCAAACTGTATTCTGCAGTTCAGATTTTACTTACTTACACTTGTTATCCCTAATGGAGCATAGGCCACCGATCAGTTTTCTCCAACCTACTTTGTCCTGGACTTCTCTTTCCAGCTCTGTCCAATTTTTGTTCATTCCTCTCATATTTGTCTCCTTTTCTCAGGGTAATGTGTTCCTTAGCCTTCCTCTTTTCCTTTTTCCTTGAGAGTTCCAAGTAAGGGCTTTTCTTGTGATGCAGTTAGGTGCTTTTTGCAGTGTGTGTCCTATCCGCTTCCACCGCTTCTTCCTGATTTTCTCCTCCGCCGTAGTCTGCTTTGTTCTCTCCCACAGTACGTTGTTGCTGTTAGTGTCTTGTCAACGAATCATCAGTAGACAGCTGTTAATAAATACTTGTATCCTCTGGATGATAACTTCAGTAGTTCTCCAAGTTTCTGCCCCATATAGTTGTAATGTCTTGATATTTGGGTTGAAAATTCTGACTTTGGTGTTTGTTGATAGCTGTCTAGAGTTCCAGATGTTGTTCACTTGCAGAAATGTAGCTCTTGCAACTTTCGCGATCCGCACCTTCACATCTCCATCAGTTCATATTTCAAATTCATTTAAATAGCTACTAAAAACATCTCTTTCCTTTAGTAAACGAAATCCTCAATTGTATTACCTTAACCAAAGATCAGAACCAAAAGCTTTAAGCGAGATTATTGATAGGCGTTTAAGTTTTACACATCACAGGTGTGTTCGACTGGTTCGCTTTTCTAAACTACCATTGATTATTTTTTTATACAAAGTGTAGTCATTTTAACTGATTACAAGCATTTCTAGTGATGATAATCTTGTATATATATTGTTGTGAGTAAACTTAAATTTAGGGCTTACAATATTTTGTAAAATTATTGTACTTTTCATGGTAAGCAATTCTATTATCTGACCAGTGAAGTTCAACTTGCTCGGGTGTAGACAGTAACTACTACCGAAGACTGTGTATGAGGATGCGCAACTCCGTGAATTGATCAAGTTAGACATTAACACCTTTAGATGTCGGCTCAGTGGTCCGATGGTTAGGCGTTCGCCTACAATACCGAAGGTCCTGGGTTCCGAATCCTGCGTGGTGCAGGAGTCGTGGATGCGCACTGCTGAGGAGTGCCGTACCAGGACGAAACGGTCGTCCTTCAGTGCTTCCAAGTTTCTAATGGTGTGATCTAACATTGATCCATTCATGGTTTCAAATAAAAATTCTATTATGTATTGATTTTTTATTTTATTTTAAAAATAATTAATTCATTTGAAAAATATTTTTTTTTAAATCATCGTTGTTATATTTTGTCTGTTTTTTTTTCTTCAAATTTTTGCTTTCAGTTTAGAAAATAATTCTATCCAAGTAAGTTTAAATATAAATTAATATTTTTATGTTTATTTATTGTATATGAATGAATCTGTTAAAGTGTGTGATGAATTTTCGAAGAGTGTAGAATTTCTCATAGTTTTTATCATAAACCAACCAATGAAAATAGCAAGAAGGATTGAGTAGTTATTTGATCTTCGAATATCGCTTCTACAGTGTTTTATCTTAGACCGTACCGTAAAATCAAACCTATCAGAGCTTCAGTTACCTTTAGTCTTAATTTCAAGATGTTCAAGAGGTCTAGTGAGAAGATGTGACTAATGGAGTTCCAGTATGTACGATTTGAGACAGTTGATAATGATTTTTCTTACCTTTTACATGCTTTTAGTCAGTTCAACTGTTAATCAAATGTTTTAATAAACATCAGTGATAAACACTATACATGTATATGTATATGCTGTATAGGTAAGACTACTTACTTGACAGTACTGGATCACACTGATACGATATATATATATATATATATATATATATATATATATATATATATATACCGTCTGTTATATATCGAGGCCAGTCAGTCAGTTACAACGTAGAATTTCCTACGTACGGACATCAGTTCAGGTTGCCATACTACATTAGCAGTTGTCAGTTCAGATCCCATAGTAATAGAAGTAGTAGAAGTATTAGCAGTAATCGGAGAGATTAGGGTTCGATGATATTATTCAAGAAATAGAATTGAGTGAAATAAACTTGAAAAGAAATATATAAAGGTGATGAGTAATTCAGAAGTTTAGGATTTGTGAGAACACAACAAATGAATGCACCTGCGACATTGTAAACGGGTTTGAGCCATGTCATTCAGGGTCTCTAACCATCGTTTACTATCATCTCGCGGACCCTAACTAGGTTGTTGACACCTACCAACATGACTCAGTCCACTTGTTCGTGACTTTATGGATTTGTGACATGTCTTCGTTTGGCCGCCTTATATAACGAGATACTACTTACTTACTTGCACCTGTTACCTCTAGTGAACTATAGGCCGTCGACTGTCGTGCAGATCTTTTAGGGTTACTGATTGTCCCAAGCCGGGATAAAGGAGGAGGTTTGGACATAGAGCTTGGCGGTGGATATTCAATCTCCGTCCTGATAACTGTTACAATAAAACGAGAGTCGTTTTCGAAGACGTTAGCGACCCCATCCCACAGAAATCCAACTTACTTAGTTTTGAACAAACGATTGTAGCCTCAGTTGTGTTATTATTGCTCTATTCATTCAATATATATTCATCCAAGCAAAATGATCTCATGCATAAGTGAGCATACATTGTTAATAAATCATGTATTCTATGTTCTGTCTGTAAGCAGATCATTTTGTGAATTTCAGCCATGTAGTTTTGCATTTATCAACTTAACTCCAATATAAGCAATTGTTAACATCATGGATTGATACTATCTTCTAACTAACTATGTTACATGTGTAGTTGCTAGAGTCGCGATTGACTATAGATACCAGTACAGATTAGTTACGTTCCCGTCACTAGGTTTAATATCTCTGTGAAGAGAATAAGAGTTAATCCACAGACAAGTGAAATATATTTGTTGACGACTTCGTGGCATCGAAGCAATACCGAAATCGTACCAGAAAAGAGGAGCGAAGTCATAGCAAGCAGTATAATCAAAAATGTCAGTAACACAAACGGAAAGTTTGCGCGTACAGAGTATTTATAAAACAATCACTGGTACAATCTTTAATAATATTAAAAGTGGCGCCATTATACATGTAAATCAAGATATTGGATCAATTATCAATCTTTACATAATATTATTTTAAGAAACAATTTATCAATGTTTATGTATATGACCAATCATGTTAAAAGTTTTTATTGTCCTAAATCTATTTCTCTATGATTTCCTCCCTTTTCATTATGTGTACAGAATTTCGACAATACTACTTCATCATATTTTCTGAATTCAAAAACAACCGATCCACTCATGGTCAATACATCTTCCAGTTTACATATGAATAAAAATTATTATCATGAAAGTAGTAAGTCGCAATATTTTTTTATTTTGTATTATTTTTGAGAGAAAATTTTTCCTACTTCCAGTGGCGGAGTGACCAGTAGTGTTTTCAACCCTTATCAAGTGTAGGCAGTAACTAACTACCAAAGACATTCAGCGAGGTTGTGCAGCAACAACATCTTTGAATGCTGGCTCAATGGTTAAAAGGTTAAGCCTTCACGTGCAAGACCGATCGTGGGTTCGATTCGAGGGATCTTGGATGAGCACTTCCTTGATAGTCTCATCCTAGGTTATGACGACCATCCAATTCTTTCAAGTTTCTAATGGTGATCTGACAATGGTCGATTCACCATTTCGATGAAAACCCTTATTATCTCTATCTTTCTCCTTCTAAATTTATCTTACTGAATTATACTTTTCGAATCATATCTTTGCTTCCTAATCTTCTCTATTACTGCTAATAATTCTATTATTGCTACCACTGTTGGATTTGAACTGACAGTTGCATTTCTGTGCTGATGGGGCATGGCAACCTGAACTGATGTACTTACGTACGAAGTTCTGCGTTGTATCTGTCTGTCTGTCGATGAAAACCAGTTGAGTGTTGGTGTACAGGATAAATTTCAGACTCCTGTATCAATGATCAGATTCGGTCAGCCAACAGCCCACTAGCACCGATGACAATACCGAGATCAGTGAGGAGGCGGTCAAAATGCACAACTGCTTCACTTCATACACATGAAACCCGCTTGCTAAATGGTAGTATAGTCACGAGACGAGAAATTCACTCAGTCTGTTTGACAAGTTGCGATTAGTTCGAACATACATTGGTTGAACACCTGATAGCCACCAATATTGAACATCATTTTACCTAAGGTCGTCTTTATTTGAATGATTTTTTTTAAAATTTCATTTCAATCACCAATGTTGAATACATTTGTAAACTGTCGACCTATTCCAGTTGAATGCGAATAATGTAACCATCTCAATCAATCAGTCAATCAATAGCAACGTACAACCTCGTACGTACATACATCAGTTCAAGTTGTCATACCACATTAGCAAAGAGATATAATTGTCAATTCAAATCCAATAGTAGTAGAGGTAGTAGTCGGAGAGGTTAAGATTATAAGATATTATTCAAGAAGTAGAATCTACTGAAATAAACTTAAAAAGAGAAAGATAGAGGTGATGAAGAATTCAGGAGATCAGCACTTGAGAGAACACAAAGAATGAATGCACCTTCGCCATTGTAGACGGTTTTGAGCAATGTCATTCAGGGTCTCTAACCATCGATTACTAACATCACGTGGACCCTAACCAGATAGTTGACACCTACACCGACATGACTCAGTCCACTTGTCAGTGACTTCATGTAACCATCTGGCATGTGTCAAAGTCACAAATAATACTTACTTAACCATACTTATCTTATTGTAATAATCGCATGAAACAACTGCCTTGTTGATTGTGATGCGGTATAAATATAAATCTTACTAAAAGTATGTATGATAAGAAAAGCCTATGAAGAATACATAGTTAATCCACTATCTTGGGGCCGAGTTTTGGAGGTTTGTATTTTTACACATTTGAAATGATCAAAACTCTGCCCTAAAATATCGTAACAGTGCTCACTAGTGACTAGCTTCGTGAGGAAATTCTTGGAGTTCTAGTTGAGAAGACATGACCAATGGAGTTCAACCCTGTCGGGTGTAGGCAGTAACTACCAAAGACCACTGAAAGAGGTCGCGCAAAATCCCTAGATCAATCAGAGTTAGACATTAACACCATTGGATGCCGGCCCAGTGGTCCAATGTTTAGGCGTTCGCGCACAATACTAAAGGTCCCGGGTTCGAATCCTGTGAGTAGCAGGAGTCCTTGATGCGCACTGCCACTGTTGAGTCTCATACCAGGAAGAAACGGCCGTCCAGTGCTTCCATGTTTCTAATGGTGGTCTAACAATGATTGATTGATCATTTCAAATGTGTAATCCACTATCACATTAACATGTTTACAGTATGCAATCAGTTAATGCACTTCAATAATCACTGACCTTGACAATTCACGCTAAACTGTTTTCGCCTAGTAAATTATTCATCTGGTTTGTTAATGTCTAACTTTTATCAATCACTAATATTGCACAACCTCATCTACTGTCTTCTCTATTAGTAACGGCTTACATTCAACAAAGTTGAATTCCACACGTCAGAAGTTTTTACTAGGATTCTAAGAATTTCCTCATAAAACTTGTCATTAAAGAGCACATTGTATGATTTTTTTCCATGTTAGAGATTAAAATCATACAAGAATGAAACGGTCATTCAGTGCTTACAAATTTCTAACACTAGTGTCTAACACAATGATTCACTTTCGGTTATTTGATCTTATCTCAAACTACTTACTGCGTTTGTTTCATTATCCTTTATAACCAATAATGAACTGATAGGTACTTATCCCAGACAACTTTCTTCTTCTAGAATATGCAAACTTGTCAAACTTTGACAATTAAATTTAAAACTTACTAATGAAATAATCATGTTATTCATAATAAAAAGTTTGAAAAATACTCACAATCTCATCTCTCTCAACTGACAAAATTAAAAAAAAACATTTCTATATTGATCATGCTTACATGGAAATCAAATCAAATCATATCAAATTCATTCTGTTCAATGTTCACTTAACTTATAAAAGGCGCCTTGATTAATTCATAATATACTATAAGCCATGTATGTGATTCATGAATTCATTTTTCTGTGTATTCAAAACACACAAATGAAATCAGACAACACAATAAATCAATAAAAAAGTCAAGTAAATTTTATTCCTATTTTTTTTTGGTTTGACAAGAGACGGAAGCAAATTTTTGCATAGTGTGTGTGTGTGTGTGCGTAGAAAGATCGATCAAAAAAGCATACCCTGACTAAATCATATCAACATCTCTCAATGTATGCGCATAATGAAGAGAAAGAGATCAAGTTATCAGGAACAATGAATAACACTATGAATCATCCATATTTCTGTGCTATGCTGTGTTGTGCTGAATACACACATTGTTATCCTATCTTTCAAGGCATTTTTTTTCCCTGTTCCACTAAGATGATCTTTTCAAAACAGGAGGATAATATTATTATTATCAGTCACGTGTTCAAGAGAAAATATTTCTTAATAAGACTACTTATCTCTATTTTGTCTCTTCAACTGTGTGTGTGTTGGTGTATGTGTGTGTGTCTGTGTGTGTCTGTCTACAATGGATCTGGCATGCCTAATTGTTTTCTAGATTTAAGATTCGGACTTATCATCCACACTGTTTTCTGTTTACTTTTGGTGTGTGCTTTTTTTCCGGCCTACTCTCCACCACCACTACCACCACGTTTTCGTTTTTTCATTTCATCCCTATCAGTTTTTTTTTCATTTTCATTTGATTGTAAAAGCAAGAGAACTTTTTGTTTTGACAAGATTAAAATCACAACAGTTCAATAATAACAATAGTAATAATAATAATAATAACATTAGTAGAAACGATCAGCTGTTCTACACAACTATACACTATTCGATAAGCGGTGGGTAGGATAGACTGGGAATAAACGATTAGTCTATGATTAGTTTAAAAGAGAAGATATTTTTCCTCAAAGTATTCCATATATGGATAGATTAGTCAATAGTCGAAATTCTAGGGTACTAACTAATTAAACTGAATGATAGTGAATTTAATGAGCCATGCGGCACCTTTACTTTCCTCTTTTTAAGACTTATTCTACTAAATTATAGTTCAGTTTAGTTCAGTTCACAGTTACGCCTGTTACCCCCAATGGAGCATAGGCCGCCCACTAGTTTTTTCCAACCAACTCTGTCCTGGGCTTCCCTCTAAAGTTCTGTCCAATGTTTGTTCATTCTTCTCTTGTCTTTATCTATTTCTTGGAGTAATGTGTTCTTTGGCCTTCCTCTTTTCCTTTTGCCTTGAGGGTTCCATGTGAGGGGTTGTCTTGTGATGCAGTTAGGTGCTTTTAATAGTGTGTGTCCTATCCACTTTCACCGCTTCTTCCTGATTTCCTCCTCCACTGGAATCTGGTTTGTTCTTCCCGACAGTAGGTTGTTGCTGATGGTGTCTGGCCAACGAATCCGAAGTATTTTGCGTAGACAACTGTTAACAAACACTTGTATCTTGTGGATGATGGCTTTGGTAGTTCTCCATGTTTCCGCTCCATACATTAGAACTGTCTTGACATTTGTATTGAAAATCCTGATTTTGGTTTTGGTTGAAAGTTGTTTGGAGTTGCAGATATTGTTCAACTGTAGAAACGCAGCCCTTGCTTTGCCAATCCGCACCCTCACATTTGCATTGGACCCACCTTGATTGGCGATGATGCTGCCCAGATATGTAAAGGTGTTAATGTCCTCCAAGGCATCTCCATGAAGAGTGATTTGGTTGTTGCACGTTGTGTTGCATCGGAGAATTTCGCTTTTTCCTTTATGTATGTTGAGACCTGCTGCTGCAGAGGCTGCTGCTACACTTCTTGAATAATATCTTCGAACACCTATGAAATCATCAATCAGTCATTGTTAGACCACCATTAAAAACCTGGAAGCAGTGGACGGCCATTTCGTCCTGGTGCGGGACTTATCAACAATGTGCATCCACGACTCCTGCACCTCACAGCATTCGAACCTAGGACATTCGGTCTTGTGCGCGAACGCCTAATGTCTGGACCACTGTGCCGGCATCCAACGGTGTTGTTGTCTAACTCTGATTAATCTACAGGTTTTGCGTGACCTCACCTATTTGTCTTTGGTAGTTACTGACTAAACCTGATAGAGTTGAACTCCACTGGTCACGTCTTCTCACTACAACTCCGAGAATTTCCTCACGAAGCTAGTTACTAGTTAGCATATTTTACGATATTTTCAATTAGAGTTATGGAGATTAGTGTTTTTACACAATGATTGATTGATGATTTCAAATGTGTAAAAACACTAATCTCCATAACTCTAATTGAAAATATCTTCAAACTTTAATCTTCTCCATTACCGCTAATATTCTTACTACATCAGCTACTATATGGGATTTGAAGTGACAATTGCATCTATGTGTTAATGTAGTATGGCAACTTGAACTGATGTACGTACGAAGTTCTACGTTGTAGCTCAGTGACTAACTGACTGACCTGGTAAGAGTTGATCAAAGTTAGACAATAATATCAGTGAATACCACCGGCTCGTCGGTCTAGAGGTTCAGTGTTCGCACACAAGACCATAGATCTTGGGTTCCAATCCGAAGAGCGGCAGTCATGGATGTGCACAGATGAAGCGTCCAGTGCTTTTAAGTGTCTAATAACGACCTAACACTGATCGACTCATGATTACAATGAATTTATGGACTGTCCCTAATAATTATCATGAAACAGAAGTTGTATTTCTGTTAGGATAGTCATGAGTCTGACCCGGATCTGGACTCGGATCCTTAGTCCGAGATTCTGATTCTCTTCTAGACTCGAACCTCGTACTTTCTGGATGCTTGTAGAATATACAAGTTCTTCTTCATATCAAATCTTCTTCTTTTACTCAATGACAGTTTGGAACCATCGGATTAAAGTTGTATGTTGTGTCGCCGGATCCTCGATCCTCACTCTAGTTTTCCGACCTCAGGTAAACTCGTAATAGTTCAAGCATATCAAGTTGATGTGTTTACATTTCATGCGTAATAATTTCCCCTAGATTTTATCAAGTCTAGTTCGTGTCTTCGTCCTTACAATAATCAATATTATTATTATTATTATTATTTGGTCATACTACCAGTCCAAAATCAACCTTGTTAAACTCAAGGATTCACACAAATTTAAACTGTTTTTTTCTACAAAAAAAGAGAAGAGTATTACAATTTTTTAAAAAAATTTTCCTCGCCCTCTCTCCCTCTCTCTCTCCTTCTGAACTAAAAGTACACATCAAAAGAGAACTGATCAGGATTTGTTTTTTAAAACATAAAAGAAGCCATATAGAGAGAAAAAAACTAAATTTTTCTAAAACACGTACACACACACACACACTGTAGGTCTGAGTCACATGTGTTAGTTTGTGCACACAAAAAAGGAATGACCTTCACACTGATGGCAAGTTGAATAAAATCTGTTATATTACTAATTATTAATTATAATGATCAGTAATCACTTCGTTCTTGTCTTATGGGCTATATAGGAGAAAAATAAAATGATTTTGTCTTGTTATTCAGTGTATTAGGAGTTTCTTTGACCTTGCTATTTAGTGTATCAATAGAAAAATTTAAAAAATTAAAGGGGTAAAGGAGAGTTATGCATGATTTGTGAGATAAATAGTTGTGTGTTTTATTCTTATTTAATGAAAAAAAAATCAAGTTGTATCCTGTTTTTTTTTTCTGATCAATTAAAAGTGGAGTTTGTGTTTGTTTGTTGACATTGATCAATAATAAAAGTGGATACAACTTGATTTCATTTGACAACATTTGATTTCATTCTCTTCTTGGCTTGCCTACACTTTATTGAAATTGGGTTATGAATAATGAGTGGTTAAGGTAAAATTAGCTGTGGTTGTAAAAGTTCCTTGATATCATCATTATTATGGACACTTGGAAGCATTCAGCTGGCGTTTTGTCCTAGTTGGGCATTGATTGGTGGTGTGTGCGCCTCCACGATGACAGCTCATCGGAATCGGATTGAAGAGCTTCGATCTGGTGAGCTTAACCTCTAAACCATTGAACTGATATCTAACGGTGTTAATGTCCAACTTCAATCGGTCAGCAGTGATGAGCAATCGTTATCCATTGTCTTTGGTGAGTAACTGCTTCACATCCGATAGGGCTTAACCCCATTGGCAACAGCTTGTGGTTTAAGCGCCCACCATAAGACACACTATATTGGTCGGTACGTTTGCTCGTCTTACTTGATAATAGTAATTTCCTTATTTATTGTACTAATGTAATTGTTTTTATGTTTAGAAACAGATAAAGTTTAAAGCAAAATTGGTTTTGTTATAACTAGACTCTGAGCTCGCCAATATTGCGTGTACCGTTCTAGAATATTGCATCTGTAGGACAAATTAAATCCTACACAATCCTATACCGATATAATATTTTTAACTCATTTGAAATCATCAATTAATAATTATTAGACCACCATCAGGAAACTGGGGAAACACAGGACGGCCGTTTCGTCCTGGTATGGGACTCAGCGGCAGTGCGCATCCATGACTTCCGTTGCTCTCAGGGTTCGAGCCAGAACTTTGTGACCACTGGGTCGGCATCAAATGGCGTTAATGTCCTTAGACTGATCAAAGTTAGACATTGACATCATTGGCTATTGGCCTAGTGGTTCAGACGTTCTGGGCTTGAATCCTGCGAGCTACAGCACCTGCACCTGCACCTGCATCGGATCACTGGGCCGGCTTGGTTAGGTGGTTGTGCGTTCGTCTACATTCCCGAAGGTCCCGGGTCCGAATCCTGCGAGGTGCTGGAGCCGTGGATGCGCACTGCCACTGATGAGTAGTCCCATACCAGGACGAAACGGCCGTCTTTCAGTGCTTCCAGGTTTCTAATAGTGGTGATCTAATAATAATTGATTGATTGATGATTTCAAATGTGTAAAAAATAAACACAAACCTCCAAAACTCTACCCGAAAATATTATGATTATGATGATTATCGTCGACATGAAACTAGTTCATCATGTCTTGTATTCTTTGTATATGATAAATAAGAAATTGTATTTGTTTATTATTAAAACTCAATGCAAATATTTGTACTTTAAAAGTGTGTATCATCTCTCTTTCTCTCTCTTTGTGTGTGTGTGCGTGCGTTTTTGTTATTCTGGTAAAAAAAATGGTTATTTTGTTATTCTTCGATATTTTCATCAATTCCGAACCTTAATTTTTTTCTACTCTACAATTTTAACATCAAGACATCATACACATGCAGAAATATAATTTCGGTGTAGTTTGAGAATAGTTTTCTCTATCAATAACACTACATGTGCACACACACACTCACATACACACACATATCACCTACAACACAATTTTCGAAATATGCACAACTATGCATAAATTCATAACATTTCTTTCGTTTCCACTGATACAAGAAATTTTTTTACATGGACCAATCTCTTTCTTTTACACTCAGATCACCGATGTACACTTGCATATAGCGTGTGTGTAGTGTGTACGTTTTTAAGTGGTGTTTACAAGACGAGTAATCGTGCAGATTGTTTTCTGTTTTGTTTTGATCAGTCATTCAATCAATCAATCAGTCAATCGGTCCATTGATTAGTTTCTACTGCTCTCTGTGTGCGTGTGTGTGTGTCATTTTATCGAATTGGACTAGTGTTACTCTTTTTCTGTATTTATTGTTATTATCAGTTTCTTTTTCGAGTTTTCTGTGTCGATTGCAATTCCAAGTGTGTGTCTGTGTGTGTATGTCTGTCTATTTGTGTCCGCATATGTGTGTACGTCAACATGAGTGAGTGAGTGAGCCAATACATAACAGAAAAATATCATGTCCAAAATCAAAATAGCAAATATAAAAATCAAGAAAAAAGACTTAGTTATTTATGTGCTAAACAAGCGTTCATGTGTGTGTGTGTAGTTTTATTTCTAGTCTTGTACACAACATGATAATTGCACGAACGAACTAACGAACCAACGAACGAATGAACATTTGAACGAATAAGATTGAAGCTTATAAAGCAAAAAAAACATGGTATTCTCAGTATTTGCTTCAATGATTATAACTAACATTTTATTATTGGTAAATAAATAGATTTATAATTCCTCTTTAGTCTACTTCACTGATTACATCTAACCATTCTATTTTACAGCTACATCAGATGTTTTAATGAATGTGGAAGAAAATTCACAACATGCTGACAGTGCAATACATACATTAATTAGTAATAATAATAACGACAATACAAATGTGCATACTATCGATTCTCCTAATGAAGATGCTGATGTAACAATGTGTATATGTCCAGTTTGTGGTTTCTCTGCTTCATCACCACGTAGACAAGATGAACATATGGAATTGGTACACGGGGATGTGAATGTATCACATTTGATGACTACTACTAGTCATTTGACATCATCGCTAACACCACCGACATCTTCATTATCGTCATCAACATCGACATCGACAACGACATTACCGACGCCGACGCCGACACCGACACAGACGATCAATCATGAAGAAGAAGAACCACAACAACAAATGAATCATTCAACAATATCATTTGATTTTTTTCAATCCAATCAACGATCATTATTACAATTGCAAGCATCATCTACACCACAACGTGTAAAATTTTGCTCAACTCATATTAATGAACCAATACATTCATCATTGAACACAACAACAATAAATGAACAAATAATAATGAATACAAATTTGAAAAATCCTGTAAATTCTTGTTTTGTTATTGATACTACTACAAGTTTGAATGAGACTATTGATAAATATGGTGTAGGAAATATGAACAATACTTGTATGAATGCTGTCACTGGTGGTGCCATGACAGCTATAACTACTACTACATCAACAACAACAACGAATAGTTCACCGCCGTCATCAGCATCAGCGTCGTCAACCTCATCATTATCATCAGCGTCAAGTACAGAGATTCAATCGAAATTTAAAACTTCACATCTACCGAATGATATGAATCAATTGAAAATAACTGAAAAATCACGACAACACACATCAGCATCATTGTCATTGAAAAATGGTAAATCTAAAGAGAAACACAAATGTTTCACATCATCAACACTATCAACATCTTCATCAATATCATCACCGTCTTCACTGTTACCGACATCGATTATTCCGTCGTCCATTACAGTGACAACGATAACAACAGCAACTGACACCAACACCACCACAAAAACAACAGGAGCTGTGATTAAAGGAGATGGAGATGATGATGACCATCGTCTCCATCATCAGCCTCAGCAGCAGCAGTCAACTGTGAAGAAGGTGGATTCTAGAAGACGTTATCGGTATGTGTTTCATAGAGTTATGCCATTTAGGGCTATTTTCAATGCAATTATAGTTAAACTTGACAATGTATTGTATTGATTTCACAGTAGGTATTACATATGAGTAGTAATAAGAATAGTAATAATAATAGTACGGATAAAACTTTCATTCAGTTACTAGTGGTTTCATCGAAATAATGAATAGACCGTTGTTAGGTCACCATTAGAAACCTGGAAGTACTGGATAGTCGTTTCGTCCTGGTATCAGACTCACCAACAGTGGGCATCCATAGTTTCGAATCAGGGGATCGAACTTAACACTTTCGGTATCGCAAGTGAAAGCTTAACCTCTAAACTATTGAGTCGGCATGTAACGGTGTTAATGTTTCACTTTAATCAGACTTAGGTATTGCGCAACCTCACCCATTGGTCTTGTTATACGAGATTTCTACAATTTTGGCTAACTATTTATGATATTTTCAGGCAGAGTTTTGGAGGTTTGTGTTTTTACACAGTTGAAATCATCAATCAATCAATCATTGTTAGATCACCACCATTAGAAACTTGGAATCACTGAAGGACGGCCGTCAAGTCCTGGTATGAGACTACTCATTAGTGGCAGTGCGCATCCACGACTCCTGCACCTCTCAGGATTCGAACCCGTGATTGTATACTTGTATACATATATAGATATAGATATTACAGACATCAATGTATTCGGCATTTGTCACCTTAATCAGTTGGTTGTTTAATAAGTGACACAGAGCATGAAACATATATACATTTCTCGATTCAAGCTGCTATAAAACATCAACGTTGTGATATATGGCAGTGATCAAGATAAATATATCCCAAAGTAACAGTAAATAAGTTTAGGCATAGATCCATATGATTACAGTAGGAATATTAAAGTATAAGTATGGACACAGATAGAAAATGAACACATAAACACCAGTCTAAATTTTTATTATCATTAATATGAGTAGTTGTATCATTCAATATTTCCAACCACTGATCATTACAAGAACCACACACTATAAAAGAGTCTACCACTGTCAAAATAACTCAGCCTGGTAGTTTTTAATATCTTCGTCGAGGGAGGCTTTGATTTGACTGTGTCTAGCCTACTCCGAGGAAAGCAAACATCATCAATCAAGATAGACAGTGCTTCCAATATCCAATATCTTTTTCACGAGCTAGTGTACACCAATTTGATTTCTTCGCGCTCGATTCTTGTTCTTTCGGTACGGTTCCAGGTGATCGGTAATGTCCAATGGATGGAGGTCTAGTCACTCGACTGTTTAATTCTAGTCAGTTGGCAGTTGGTTGTGATTTTGTATGTCTCGGGATTTGAATGAAACGTTTGTTTCAGGGCAGTAAGGTTTCTGGATACTAGCAGCCGTCACATTACCAAACCGGAGATCAGTTAGTTGCAATGTGGAGGGTAATAAGGGTAATAAGGATAAAATTCTAATGATAATATGAATAAAATTTCAGAACTGAGTAATATATAGGTGAATTTAGTTTATTAATTGGTAGTGAGGATTGTGAGAGAGGGCCGAAGTGTAAGCAAGGGAGAGGAAACAGAGATAATAGGCGAGATAGATTGATTGGGTAACACTTGTCTCCCATCAGCGAAGAATATTCACTGACTGATTAATTTATTTTCTATGTTTACCCAACTATCCCATGATCTCATTGGTTAAAATGAACTATCACGAATTTGAGCACACAAATGCCAAAATCTGTTACACTCTTATACTTGTTACATTATTCATCAAGTCAGCAACAACGTAGAACTTCGTACTTACGTACATAAGTCCAGTTAGCTATATCACATTAGCACAGACACGCAATCGTCAGTTCAAATCCCATACTTGTTGTGATAGTAGAAGTATGAGCGATAATGGAGAGGATTAGAATTCGAAGATATTAGTCAAAAAGTGTAATTCAGAAGATTAGAATTTCAGAGAACACAAATAGTGGATTCACCTGCGACAAGGTCTCTCTAACCATCATCTCCCGGGCCCCAACCAGGTAGTCTACACTTAAACAACATGATTCAATCCACTTGTCAGTAAATTCATAGATTTCTACCATGTTTTGGTTTAGCCGCCCTTAGCGTTCTTCCACCTTACTCTCCTACACCACAAAACATCGCTCGTCGAATGTCTTCTTATTCTCAACTTTCTAGAAAATAGTAAACATTTAAGAATGATAAAATTGATTGATGATTTCAAATGTGTAAAAACACTAACCTCTCGGAGTTGTAGTTGAGAAGACGTGACCAATAGATGAGTTCAACCCTGTCGAGTGTAGGCAGTAACTGCCAAATACATATGGGTGAAGTCACGCAAAATCCATAGATCAGTCAGAGTTAGACACTAACCGCCCAGTGGTCCGATGGTTAGGCGTTCGCGCACAATACCGAAGGTCCTGGGTTCGAATCCTGCGAGGTGCAGGAGTCGTGAAGGCTCACTGCTGATTCGTAGTCTCATACCAGAACATGACGACCGTCTTTCAGTGCTTCCAGGTTTCTAATAGTGGTGGTCTAATAATGATTGATTGAGTAATAATTTCAAATGTGTAATGATAAAATAACTGTATTACCCAATGACACTTCAGTCGGTTATCATCATTGCTTTATCGATCGGTTGTGATAAAATCATTACTTTAAAAAAAATTCATGTTTACTCGACTTTTTTATTGTTATTGTTGTTATTGTTATTATCATTCGAAGTGTAAACAAAAAAAATCAAGTTCAGCATAGTTTCATCATTTTGGCAATAATCTCTCAACAAACCACACAAACAAACAAACAAAGTACATACTCGAATGTTTATTCTTCTTCATGCTGAATGAAGTTCATGACCTTGAGGGGTTATTTTATGAACCTTTGAAAAAATAATTTATTTTTTAACTGTATAAATTATTTCTATTAGATGATGAATAGAACAATTAACAAAATAAACAAACAAACGATTCACATACATGCTTGAATTCAATGTTCAATAGTTATGAGCGTTGATTAGTGTAGCTGATGATGGTGAAGACAGATTCTGGAGATAAATCTAGTCTCGTAAATTATAAATAATCTTGAATGATTAATGAAAATATGTAAACATGTTATCATTTGAAATCTTTAGAGGAGTCTATATATTTTCATAGATAATAGCTAGACTCACAAATGGACAGCCTGAATACTGTCTTATATCCAATGTACTGAGACAAATATCCACTAGAGACAATGGAAGATGGTTGGTTAGGCAGTAACATGAATGAACTAAAATTAGATTATGTTAACCGTTGAATGTGTAACCTCCTTGGTCAAGCGTTTACCCACGCGAGATCGAAGGTCATGCATTCGATTTCCGAGAATAAGTGAGCATCTTCAGAGTACTACGCTAGCATTAAATAACTGTTCAACGCTTTCAGACTTGCGCTCGTTATGTAATTAAGATTAGTTACTGGTTGTTTTTAGGAAACGAGTTCTAGGTAAGGATGGCAGATCAGTAGACGAAGTATTGAAACTTCATCAGTTGAGGTGGTTGGGACATGTGTTACGAATTTCCGACCACCGACTGCCTCGAAGAACTTTGTTTTTTGGTGTAGGAGTAGGTTGGAAGAAAGTTAAGGGCGGCCAGACCAAAACTGGCTTAAATCAGTAAAATCACTGACAAGTGGACTGAGTCATGTTGGTAAGTGTAGACTACCTGGTTGGGGTCTGCGATACAAAGGTCACCGATGGTTTGCAATGTCTGAGGTGCATCCACTCCCTGTGTTCTCTCAAACCCTAATCTGGATTTGTCAACACCTCTACTTTTGTTTTTTCTAAACTTATCTCACTGAATCATGCTTCTTGAATAATAATATCTTCGAACCCTAATCTTCTCCATTATCGCTAATGATTCTAATATCTCTACCACTATGGGATTTGAATTGACAATTGCATCTCTGTGTGCTAATGTGGTATGGCGGCAACCTGAACCAATGTACTTATTTACGAAGTTGTACGTTGCATCTGACTCTGACTCTGTTAGCGTAAGTCAACACATTGAACGAGATTTAAGTAGTACTATTCATTCAATCCTTTTATGAATAATTACAGAATTACATAAAATATTATAGAATGATTATTTATAGATTATTAAAGGGAATTGAACACTGAACATTATGTTGTTTTTGAATCTTACTTATTTACTGAAGTTTTTTTTTAAGAAAACATTTCTAACAGCTAAGTTATAATGTCTCCTCTGTAAAATTAAGTTTATTTTTTTCAATCTTTTTTCTCCTTTTTTTCACAATCAGCTGTAATATATGTCCAACAACATTTCCATGGCATGGTGATCTCACGGAACATTTACGTTCTGTGCATGGAATGCAAAAATCACGTGAAAATGCACGTAATGGTAAAGCTGGCAGTTTTTGTTGTAGTCATTGTAAATATGTAGCAAAATATCAAAGTGAATTAAATCGTCATATGAGATTACATTGGGGTGTTAAACCATTTATATGTGTATTTTGTCCATATCGTAGTGCATGGAAAGGTGATTTAAAACGTCATATGGAATCACATCATCGTGAACGTTTTACATGTGAAACGGAATTAATTAAAATTATGTCACAATTTAAAAATAACGCTGGTACACGACTATTATCCTCCTCAGCCTCATCATCATCATCGTTGTTAGCCTCATCAACAACATTCACTGGTACTTGTGGTCATAGACCAATATTACCAATGTCACAATTTGATATAACCACAGAGAGTAGTGAAGGAGATAATGTCAGTGATCGATATAATTGTTTACAAATTGATGAAGATGATGTTGATGATGATGAAGATGATGTTATGATCAACCCCGGTACTAGTATTACTACAACAACTACTAATAATAATAACAGTAATACTAATAATAATAACAGTCACAGTTTTAATGTTGCCATTGAAAATGCAGATAATAATTCCAATGAGAATGATCATCCAATTAATTCTATCATGATGAAATCATTTCCTATTGAATTAACTAGTTTAACTACTAATAATAAAAATAGTAGTATAATTAGTAATCATGCAAAATTAACTGATACATCATTGAATAATATGATGAGCAATTATTTCACTCAAACAACAGCAACTACAAATGATAACATTAATAATTTAATTTGTAATATTTGTTCATATCATGCACAAAATCAAAGTAAATTTAAAAATCACATGGCTAGTCATATAAATTTAAAACAATTTAAATGTCCAATCTGTGGACAACGAAGTAATTATAAATGGGATATTACGAAACATTTAAAAAAACAACATCCTAATTGTAATCAATTACCAATTACAATAATCAATAATACTGTTGAAACAATTGACGAGAATCATGTTAATGCCTCGACAGCATTAATGCCAATCAGTTTAACAATGTACTCATCGTCATCGTCTTCATCAGCATCCGCGTCAGCATCAGCATTATCACCATCTATCATTTCACCGCCTTGTTCATCACAATTCCCGGTATGTGCTCTGTCGAATCAATCATCACTGGTTTCATGTATTCCAACAACTGAACAATTGGCATTACTGACTCGACCACAAACAACACCGACATCATTGACAACATCAGCAACAACAACTCAGTCAACTATGATCATTTCACCGAAATCCAATGAAATTTCATCTTTAGATATGATGACATGTAAAAATTATTTGAAATTTCCAGAAATTTCAATGAATTCCAATGAAATGAGCCAATCAAATGATTCATTGAATTTGATTGGATATTCATCGATAAATCAATTCACATCATCACCATTACAAAATTCTTTTACGATTAATAATAGCAATAATAATAGTAATAATAATATTGATTTATCAATGAATGACTCATTACCAATTGATCTATCAACTGGATATTCACAGAAGCATATTAAACAAGATGATATCAAGGTAAAAACTTTTTTCAGATTATAGTTAACTCATATTGTTGATGTTAATTGATGGCACTGATGTAAACTGGGGGAATATTTGAATAGGTGTTTTAGTTTTACTATAAGACTATTTGTCCGTAGGAAGGATTGGATTGTGACCAATTTGGTCTCGTGTGCTGTTACATGTATGAGGGTGGGTGTCACTTCCCAGCTGCCCTCACACTGTGGAAGGGTGTGCCTTGAAGAACCTGAAAGGGAAGGTGGATTAGTATTTGATCTTACAGATCTGGGAGCGTGACCACAGAGCCTAAGGGACAAATGCTTAAGGCCGGTCACGCTCGGCTTTTTTATGAGAAGTTTTTAAAGTATTAGCTTTGTTCTTGTTTAAAAGGCCTTACCGCTGAAGACGGAAATCCGTGAGGTAAGGTGAGGTGTAACCCTTTCTAACCCCTTCCTTCCTTGTGAGAAGGCAACATCTTTGCAGATTCTGGTTATTCGAGGGAAACACCTTACTGCTGTCGCACCTCTCCACAGCCAGATGTACGAGTTCGCCCTCAGACCTTGAGTAGCTGCTTCTAGTCTCATCGTTCTCCAATTGACGTGCCTGATATGGTAGGATCTACAGGAACATGTGTTCCAGACTATATAGCTCGGTTGGGTCATCACGATAGGCAAGCCCGACCACCACGTCAAGGTTTGCTGTTACGTTATAACTGACTGAATGACTGACTATTCATCAGTGTTCATCTACGATCACATCACGCAATGACCAGGTTTTTACAATAAGTCAACGTTTAATGTTTCAATTTTGATTCCAGTCAGTCTTGTAATGATTCGGCAGTTTAATGGATCTATTGAGTTGAATGTTCAATATGAGACTTGGACATTTCTAAGGCTTCTTAGAATTCGGAAAGGAACTAATATGTTTGTACCCTCTGGTTTGTGTGATGGATTTCTTAAATAAAAAAAAATGGAATAAATCTCTGATGATTACAAGTTTCAGATGAAACTAAGAGACTTTTTTTCTTCGGCAGTCAATGATAATATGACTGTTTCATATTGGTGATTCTTTGTTAGGAAAATGTTTAAAATTATTATACTTAAGATTTTTTCAATTAGAGTTGTGGAGAATAGTATTTTTGCACATTGAAATCTTCAATCAGTCATTGTTAGACCGCAATTATAAACTTGGAAGCAATAGATGGCTGTTTCGTCCTGTAAGTAGCCAGAGTTGTGGATGCATACTACTGATGAGTCCCATACCAGGATTAAAGGTGGTCTAACAGTGATTGATTGATTGATGATTTCAAAAAAAATTAAAGACATTGGATTTTTTTTTCAACTACTCTGAATCATCGAGTAGCAGGAATTGTGTGATCAATGAAACGGAAAACGACATCTGAAACTAGGTCTAAAGTTCAAATTCCATCTCGGCTATTTCATTTCAGGCTATCAAATAGTACTTGTAAGCATTGTAATGTAAATATAAATCTATGCGAAGTAAATAAACATATGCTTTAACATATGATGAGTGAGTTACAATTAATACGGTACTTACTTACTTACTTACTTACGCCTGTTACCCCAAACGGAACATAGGCCGCCCACCACTTTTCTCCAACCAACTCTGTCCTGGGCTTCCCTCTCCAGTTCTGTCCAATGTTCATACGGTAGTAAAGTTTTTTTACTAACACAATGACAAGAAGATAATAATGTTAACTGTTTACTCGAATTTTGGTCAATACAAAATATGTTATATTTCTGAGGTAATCAGGAAAATAGTGTATAAGAGAAAACACCAGAATAATACTGAAACACTGATAATAATCTGTACACTGAACATTGACATCGTTAGATTTGTAACAGATTGAATATTCATTCAGAAGATGAAGGGTTTCTCGAACTAATTTTACAATGATGGGATTATGAATCCTATTCTGACGGAAAGTCTTGCATTAGGGATGAAAGGACAGCCTAGCATTTCCAGAATCCCAACGTTTGTTCAGATTACATCAGTCGTTAAGTTAAATCTAATCAAACTCTATTCACGGAATGAAAAATATAAAGGAATAATTATCTATGTTTATAAAAGATAAAAATACCCTCCAGAGGTGCGATAAATTCATCTAACTTATCAATCAAAGATTTTAAATCCAGAAACTTTAAACTACTGATATTGGTTTAAGTAATCTGGTTTTTTATACAAAAAACAATGACGAATAGTTCAAAGTTGAATGTATGACTCAGTCAAAATTTATGTAACCTATTCAATAATTTATCGGAAATGAAATTTTTAATCCGACTTCTTCTCCAGTCTCGCAACAGAACCAGTTATTCCATGTATAAAAATCCCATAAATAACAATTCAAGTGTGTCGTCTGCTTGTCAAAAATGATTATTGTTTATTCATTGTAAAATGTTTATTTCAAATTTTCAGGTGGTAATTTTAATTATCAGAACAAGTCAGTCGTACTTATTATTATTATTTTGGTTAATATTATGATGTGTATTTTTCATCACTAACAGTTTAAATACTACTAATACCAATACTACTAATACTAATAATAATGTTGTTATTTAACTTGCAGACATATAATCAATGTCATGTGTTCGTAGTGCAATGTATATGATACTTGTTTGAATGTTGTGCATTTTTTTTCATGTTGTAAATAATATTTTTTATAGTTTTTGTGTATTGAATAACAAAACACACTATACCTTCATTTTTGTTCAGTCTCGCACGACTTATTTTTTACTGTTTTGTTGATAACTTTAAATCTTCATAATTTATTTTGTTCATGTGAGTAATAATAACACGTTAACCGTTATGCGTATATGCACACACACACACACAGTAAAATTCAGTATATGTACCGTCTGTATAATTGTAAGGTATATATTTATGTTCACTTAGAGGACTACGACATATTGAAGTGGATTTCCCTGTAAAGATTTGTTTTATGAGTCCTAAACTTCACGATATTTGTGTTTCTCAACCAGCATGTTTGGTTAAACTCAGCTGATATGCTTAGAGTAGAGAGTTGTGAGCAACTTTATGCTAAGGGATGTAGTGTTAAAGAGAAAAAGTGACAGTTTTTCTCAGGATAATTTAAATCAATGATAAGAAACACTCATAGGCAAGGTATGAAGTTAGGAGTTATCAAGACGCCCTTGATTAACGATTCTCAACTGATATCCAATTATAAATGCTCAAGAATTTGTTCATGATCACAAACTTGCAGATGCAAGATCAAAAACTCTAGAGAGGAGTTCATTAGATGATTTCAAAAGGCATTTTATTTGTCATTTCCATTTATAATATGTCAATAGTGTTTTCTTTTCAGTTTTCTTAACATTTCTAACATCAGTTACTAACAAATAATAAGTAGTATAAATTTTTAACAATATATTTTTTTGGATGCATTGAAATATATATTTTTTTTAATGAACAAAGTTTAGATGTGAACAGAATAAATGACAGAATCATTTATAGTTCAAAGAGAAACCGAATTATAAATTAGTCATTGGTATTGATAAAGAACTTTTAATTGATGAGATCCACTGATATAATGTGGTTGTTAAACTTATGCATGACTAATCTTTACTGAATGCGTAGTATGAGTAACTCATATAGCTTATTACCTAAGCATGAATATAAACGCATGTTATTATGTTTGATTGTCTCTATGAATGAATGGCCTAATTAATCGTTTTTTCCATTTGTTTTCTCTTCTTTTCAAACTTCACTTTCTTTTGGATTACTTCATCGGTCTACTTCCTCATATTCATGATTAGAATCCTATGTTGTTACTGACAAACCCATGTACACAATCACAATCATCAGGATTATCAGTGAAAAGTTCATTGGAAAACAATCAACATCAGAATTATCCAATTTCTTCTATAGACATAAATAACACTATTTATTCAACAGCAACAACAATGACAACCTCAACAGCAGTAACATCCCCTTGTTTAACTAGTTCAAATTCAATTTCTACAATTACACTATCAGATATCCCAATTCATTATCCTATTCTATCAAATATACAACGAAATATTACGCATAGTTTTATGCCTTCTACTACTACTACTACTACTAGTTTTACGACAACTAATAGCAATAATACTACTCATCATAATAATTCATCACTCATATCACCATATACTATTGGTTCATTTATATCTACTGATCCGTTAAAACCGAATTCCTCGCCAAATTCAGCAATTAATTTACTCTTTAATATACAACAACAAGTTTTAATGACTGGTCTCTTACAAACATGGCAACAACAACAACAGCAACAACAAAGTAGTCAAAAATATCATGAACTACAACAACGTCAATTACAATTCAAAGATTTATCTATGCATCGTGATACTTACGGGACAGTCTCCTATTCTGATGTGATCATTAATATGACATCACCTATTACAAGTTGTTCGCCTAGTAATCTGAGTAGAAGTAGTCATAATAATAATAGTAATAGTAATGTAACACAGATTACTAGAACAACAACTACTACTCCGATTACATCACATGGTACTTTGACGAGTAATATCAATAATAGTGCGGCTACTGCTGCTACCGTCGTCGCTGTCAACGATACAGTCAATACATCATATCATACAATGTTTAAATCACTAGTAAATAATCACTTACCTGAATTAATACCATCCATAGTTATCACATCATCATCATCATCATCATCACTACAATCACAAATAGAGAAACATTCAAGTATTGATTTGACTAATAAAACTAACCAACTGAACGATCATCATCAATTATCACCAATCAATTGGGAATCGAAAAAATCCACTACTTCTGATTGGTCAATCACATCAACATGTGCTGAATCATTGAAACAACTATCCAATACCGTACCGGCGGATGAAAATCAACAACAAAAAAATCAATTACAAGTGAATCGATTTTTTACACCTGGTCGACGTAAAGAATCACAACGTTTATTAACTAGAACTAATAATAATAATATTAATAATAATGGACGTAAATCTGCACCGAATAGTAGTTTGTTTAATTGTCATGTTGATGTCAATAATCCCGCTGGTACTATTGGTAATCTAAATAGCAGTAATAGTAGTAATAATAATAACAAAGAAGAACAATGGAAGCGATTTCAGTGTTCAGGTTGTGGTCATCGATCCAATTGGAAATGGGATATAAATAAACACATTAAAGTAAGTTTTTTTTATGCATTTTACATGTGTAATAAGTAACATGCATTATTTATTGGCATGGTATGTTTCTATAGGTGACTAACCATACAATGATTTCATGGGAATAGTAGGGATTAATAAGACAATTGTAAGATTGATATCGATCAATCTGTTTTAATGAATTTGAGACTGAGAAATTATCAATGTTTAATATTTCTTTAGATGACTTTAGATGAATATATAGTCTCTCTGTATCTACATATTTAGAAAGGTTATTGAAGACTAGTTCCATTTCTTATTGGTATTTTTTCGATACTTCTGAATAAACAGTCAGTTTACCTGCGAAATCTTGGATTAAAAAAATGTATGAAACTTCTGTGATATACTGGTGTTTTTGAGAAAATAAAGCAGTACATTTATAAACCTTAATTCTTGAAGAGTCTTAGACAATTATAGTATCCAATGTACAGTTAGAAATGATTATTTCCTAAAGTGATCATGTGATCTGATAACAGCCAGTAACTGTGTTAAAATAGAATGAAGTCATTCAAATAGAAAAATGTTTGTTGAATACAGGCAAATTGAGAGTAACGTAAACTTTAGAAAAATATTACGTGTACTGCCATCTATATATATCTTCTGATGCAAAAATACGGGGGTACGCTAGCATATACTCCGTATAGTCAACGTAACGCGACGTCAATCTGTAGCCACGCCTGCAGTACCCTCTTAGCCTCCACGGGTTTCGAAACCCGTGGAGGCTATGAGGGTACTGCAGGCGTGGCTACAGATTCACGTCGCCTTACGTTGACTATACGGAGTATTTGCTAGCGTACCCCCGTATTTTTGCATCTGTAGATATATATAGATGGCAGTACTCGTAATATTTTAAAGTCTACTGTTTACTTCGGTGATTTGCATGTATTCGACAAACATTTGTCTATTTGACTGACTTCATTCTATTTTAACACAGTTACTGACTGTTATCAAATCACTTGATCACCGTAGGAAATAATCATTTCTAAATGTACATTGATACTATAATCGTCTAGGACACTTCAAGAATTAATGCTCATAAATGTACTGCTTATATTCTAAAAACAACAATATATCACAGACGTTTCATGCATTTTTTAATCCAAGATTTTGCACGTAACCTGACTGGTTATTCAGAAGTATCGAAAAAAATACCATGAAGAAATTGAACTAGTCTTCAATAATCTTTTTAATTATGTAGATAGAGAGAGACTATATATTCATGTGAAGTCATGTAGAGAAACATTAAACACTGATAATTCCCCAGTCTCGAATTCATCAAAACACAATGATCGATATCAATCTTACAATTGTCTTGTTAATCCCTACTATTGTGGTGCGAGCTACTTATAAGTAGTATATGACGTGAGTGTAAACGTAATGTCTGGCAGCAGAAGATGGGGGAAGATCAAGAAAGGGAGAGTTAGAACACAATGGAATTTGTATGAAACGCATGAATACTGACAATGGATTGATGTTTTGCAACAGGAACAGTCCAGTTTGATATGATGAACTGATCTTTTGCAAATGAACGATTTCCGATATGGTTTTGCTATTTTACTGAGTAACTCTGTAATTTTCGTTAAGTAACGATGCATCCGTTGATGGCCAGACCAAAACATGGCACAAATCTATGAAATCACTGATTAAGCCATGTTGGTCGGTGTAGACTACTGGCACTTAAAGACTTTGGATAATGTGGCTTGAAATTATTTGCAACGGCGCAGATACATCGATTGTTCGTCTTCTCTCAAGTTCTAGACTTCTGGATTCTTGGTGACCTCTTTTCTCTGGAATATACCTCTTGAAGCATATCTTCGAACCTAATACTATTACTATTTCTACGACTATGGGGTTTTCAAATAACAATTCCATATCTTTGTACCAATATGTTATGGCAACTCGAACTGATGTTCCACGTTGCAGCTGACTGACTGACTGAATTTAAAAAACATATCTCTCTGTTATATTATTCTTACTACTTATTTGATGTACTATTCTAATCGCTTCTTCCCTTTTTTTTTTCGTTTTCTTCCCCCCCCCCAGTAAATTATCAAAACCTCATACAATTATCGATTGTAGTCAAAATGAAAAAATTGAATTAAAACGTGAATTAGGCTTATGGAGTGCTGTTTCTATTACTATTGGTACAATTATTGGATCTGGTGTATTCGTTACACCAAAAGGTGTTCTAGAGAATAGTGAACAAAGTCCTGGTATCTCAGTTATAATTTGGATTCTATGTGGTTTTATTTCACTACTGGGTTCATTATGTTATGCTGAACTTGGCACTACTATAACTCATAGTGGTGGAGATTATGTTTACATTAAACAAGCATTTGGAAATTTACCTGCATTTTTACAATTATGGGTAAGTAGTATAGTAGTAGTATTGTAGTGAATGAGAACACAGGTGGGGGCAACCGGTTTGTATTTAACGAAAATTACAGAGTTACTCAGTAAAATCGGAAAACCATATCGTAAATCGTTCATTTGCAAAAGATCAGTTCATCCTATCGAACTGGACTGTTCCTGTTGCCAAACATCAATCCATTGTCACTACTATTCATGCGTTTCATACAAATTCCATTGTTTTCTAACTCTTCCTTTCTTGATCTTCCCCCCGTATTATGCTACCAGACTTTACGTTGACACTCACGTTATATACTACTTATAAGTAGTTCGCACCACAGCACCACACTCGTCCCCCCTTTTAATAAGCTGTCGTCGTAGTCCTTCAAAACAGAGCCCCTGGTCAGTTAATATCACCTTCCGTATTCCGTGACACGCTACAATACGCCGGATTACCACTTCGGTCATCGTTCTTGATCACTGGTCTGGAATGGATACGGCATCTATCCAACGTGTAGCGTTTACAAGTTCCCGATGCTGGAACACGGCGGCAGGCACACACTCGATAAATTGCGACGCCAAAGACTGTGCCCCGCCCACTGCTCACGGCGCAATCCGGTGAGCTCCACAGCAAGCACCAACAGGTCACCATCGGCCGACAGCCGCACCAACCGGAACCTCTGCGGCGCCTCCTCCCTGTCCGCTGGGCTGTCGAACTCCATTATCAGCCGCCCGGTGACCGTCTCCCACGCCGTCTCCTCGGTGGCACCGTCCAGGCTGTCGTGTACCGCCTTCGCCTCACCTCCCCGCAGCGTCCCAGGCACCGTCAACTCCGCCCCAACCCCCCACCAGCTCCACCGTGGCCCCAAACTCCTCCAGGAAGCTCCGCCAATCTCCGTCCTGCAACTCCTTCGGCCACGGGAGCCCCTTCCTTCGAGCAGGCAGCGACACCAAATGTAGTGAATGAGAACACAGGTGGGGCAACCGAATTGTCATTGACGAAAATTACAGAGTTACTCAGTAAAATTGGAAAACCATATCGTAAATCGTTCATTTGCAAAATAACAGTTCATCCTATCGAACTGGACTGTTCCTGTTGCCAAACATCAATCCATTGTCACTACTATTCATGCGTTTCATACAAATTTCATTGTTTTCTAACTCTTCCTTTCTTGATCTTCCCCCCATATTATGCTACCAGACTTTACGTTGACACTCACGTTATATACTACTTATAAGTAGTTCGCACCACAGTAGTAGTAGTATATTGTATATGTATATATGCATTAAAATTGTAATGCCTTGGGTATAGTTTTTAATTTTTTCCTTCATACATTTTTATAACTGCTAGTTGTGTGAATTTTTATAGAGTCACATGTGTTAAACACTTTTGTTTTAAATAGTTTGTTGATATTTTTCATAGATATTTATCATTATTAGTATAAAAACATATTTGTTTATAATTATTTCCATTGACTGGTATGGTATTCCTAACGACATCATCATTATACGATTGAAAGTTATTAAACAACACATTGATAAATATATTTAAACATAAAACATGTAATTTATGAATTTATGTAATTCATTAAAATTGGATTTAAAATATTTTATTTAATGATGCTTATATAATTGAAGTTATTGAAAATGTGTTCAATGTCCAATGTGTTGTATACAATATTTTTTTTTTTGAGATACTTTTATGTTTGTTCAAACCACACATTTGATTGTAGTGTATTGCCTCCACATAAACTTGAGTTGGCTCTTAGCCTTCTCCAATTCGCTTCTCCAATTCGCATTGTGGTGTGCCTCGAATAAACGTATACGATACTTGGAGTTCATCTTCTGATTTATAAACCGAGCTATAAGAACACGCAGTAAATCGGCACACTACATAATGGTGAGCCCTACGTCAACAAAATTGGCCACCATCCATAATGGTGATGGAGGTGGGATCACCACTATGTAGTGTGCCGATAACTGCGTGTTCTTATAGCTCGGTTTATAAATCAGAAGATGAACTCCAAGTATCGTATACGTTTATTCGAGGCACACCACAATGCGAATTGGAGAAGCGAATTGGAGAAGGCTAAGAGCCAACTCAAGTTTATGTGGAGGCAATACAGTAGCTCTTTATTAAATATTTCATTTCAAATCCTAATTTTCACTGTATGATGTATTTATTATCGAGCATGCGTCAAGCTATATACTACACTGAATATATTTATGTTCAACGATCAAGGTTTACTTCAACAGTACAATAGAGGTTGATTAATCTTTTGGAATGAATCTAAAGATCAAAAGTGTAATAATAGTAGATCACTAAAATATTTAAGAATGTCTTTAAAGCAGAAAAATCTCACCTGAAGCCTTTCTAAGGTTACTACCGGTCCCAAACCTGGAGATAAGAGAAGAGGGTTAGGAGGCATGGGGATAGCGACCTCACCTCATAGAAAACTAACTCGGTGAAAAAACACAAATCAGAAAAATATAATTCACACCATTTAAACTCTGCCCTTGAGTTGGAAGGTTTTCATTTAGGAAAACTATGATGTCTAATGCTGAAAGTCGAGTTTCTTCTGAAGTCACAAGGTCAATGACCCTTGTGACAACCAGAGCTACTATTCACATAGGTAGATGGATTGTTCGTACTTTGCGGGAGACCGTGAAGTCATTCAAGTTGCTGTGGAAATTAGAAGCATAAATGAGAAGAATGAACAGTTTGGAAGCACTAAACATTTGTTTTCCCTGGTATTGGATTCCTCACTGACACGTACCCACAATCCCACCGGCAATCGAGTCCAGGACCTTTACGACACAAGACGGACACTTAACATTTAGATAAATAAGTAGGTATCTAATGGTTTGCACATTTAACTGCAATCAATTCCCATCTACCATTATCTTTAGTGGATAACTGCTTTAAACTTGACAAAGCTGAACTTCACTGTTGAGTGGTATCATACTAGGAGGAAACAGATGTTCCATCCTTCCTGGCTTCTACTAGTTGTCTAACTTAGATTTATATATTATCTCAATGACAATAGAATAAAGTCAAAATAGCTGAAAACTTCATCATTAGGGAAATAGAGAAAATCTGTATGAAAAAAATAGAAATTTTGCTTTATATAGCGTCTAATAATGAAAGATTCATAAAATGAGAATGTTATTGTACTATATATATACTGACACATAAGTTTACCACTCTAGATTAGTGATGTGTGAACACTGAGACAGTAATCGTTTGAAATGATGCCAAATAATTTAATTAGTTTCTAAAACGTTTATGTTATTATAACTGTAGTGAATGAGAACACAGGTGGGGGCAACCGAATTGTATTTGGCGAAATTACAGAGTTACTCAGTAAAATTGGAAAACCATATCGTAAATTGTTCATTTGCAAAATATCAGTCCATCCTATCTAACTGGACTGTTCCTGTTGCAAAACATCAATCCATTGTCACTATTCATGCGTTTCATACAAATTCCATTGTTTTCTAACTCTTCCTTTCTGGATCTTTCCCCATCTCCTTCTACCAGACATTACGTTGACACTCACGTCATATACTACTTATAAGTAGCTCACACCACATAACCAGTTACTGTTGTAACACACTGTCGACAATGTTATAACCAATGATTATAATTGAGTTATCAGTGAGTAGTATAACGCATCGTTTTAATGAAATAAACAACATTGATTAATTTAACTATTCACTTAAATTCCCAAAACTCATATATTGTGGTGTGAGCTACTTATAAGTAGTATATAACGTGAGCGTCAACGTAATGTCTGGTAGAAGGAGATGAGGGAAGATCAAGAAAGGAAGAGTTAGAAAACAATAGAATTTGTATGAAACGCATGAATAGTGATATTGGATTGATGTTTTGCAACACGAACAGTCCAGTTCGATATGCTGAACTGATATTTTACAAATTTACGATTTACGATATGGTTTCCCGATTTTACTGAGTAACTCTGTAATTTTCGTTAAATGCAATCCCGTTGCCCCACCTACAATATAATTATTGGTGGCTAGCTTCAATATAGGGATTTCTTAGGGTTGAGTTAATGCGAAGTCATAACTGTGTGAATTTAAATGAGTTGGGAGTAAGACAGTAAGTAACTTAATGGTATGTTCAGTCAAAGTAAGCTGGTTGTTGAGTTTAAATTGACATGCACTAATGCATCACTTACACAATGGACTAGTTTATATTTCTTTTAACTGCTGTTCTACCGTTAATATTTGTATTCCGATTCTATTGAGATTTTTGCTATACAAAATGCAAACATGTGTAGATGAAGATTTTATTGACCTTATAAAACTCGTCATCTAAATAAAAGAAGTACAGTCGTTTATAAATATGATTTTTACAAACACACACATCTCATGATAGGTTATCACACAGTAGAAATACTCAATTACTTCTAAGCTAAGCTCTTTTGGTTAATTTATTTAGCTGACAGCATCATTCGGACAGAAACACCTTTTTGCACCAGTGTACTTTTGTTATTGTTGCGGTTGTATAAACATGCATATTTGAGTATTAGTCACAGACTATACACATATGGATTCTACTGGCTTTAGTCGCTCAAATAATTCGATGACTCTTTCATTTTTCTATGTACATTAAGACATTTCAATCCTATTCATTCGTTCCTCAGTATTCAAATATCGTTTTGCTTTCTCGCTTCGAAAGGCCTATTATGGTTTTGTGGTCGATGGGGTGCGCTATAATAAACATCATCGACAACCCGTATTCCTTTTTCTGATATATATACACCGTAAGCGTTATCTAGTAACTGTTATTCAGCTCGAGCAATATACCAAGTTTAATAATCACTATCGAATATCTACCACCAGAAACTGTTGTTTTAACATAATTCTTATTTTAGTTTCCTTTTTGGCATGTATTTATGTTTATTTTATAGGTGAATCTTGTCATCATTCGACCAACATCCACTGCAATTTGTGCATTCAGTTTTGCTTATTATGCTCTTTATCCAATTTATTCATATTGTGATCCACCACATTTATTGATATTGAGTTTTTCCATTTTATCTATAAGTAAGTTGAAATAATATATACATTTGTTAAGTATTCTATTATAATGAAATGAATATTGAAAAGTTGAAACATTTAGAATTAATTTTCAGATTATAATTAGTCAGTCAGTCAGTCAGTTTAAGAGGCCTTAACGCCGGAGACGGAAATCCATGAGGTAAGGTGAGGTGTGACATTTTTTAGGGTTGACCTTTTCTAACCCCTTCCTTCTTTGTGAGAAGGCAGCATCACTGCAGATTCTGGTTGTCCGAGGGAAACACCTTACTACTGTCACACCCCCCTACAATAAGCAGTACGACATCGCCCTCAGACCTCGAGTTAGTGCTTTCAGTCTCATTGTTCTCCAATCGACCTGCTTAGCATGGTAGAACCTACAGGAAAATATGTTCCAGCCAATAGAGTTCGGTTGGATCATCCCGATAGGCAATCCCAACCACCAAATCAAAGTAGCAGTCACGGTCGGGAGATTATTATTATCTATATTGATATTTTTTATCATTGTTGCATTTTTATGCCTTCCTTATTGTCAGCCTTCACTGGATTTATTTATTTTACTATGCCTTAGTTATATACTGTTTGCTCACTTACAAGACGTTGTGTTTAAAGTATGACTTCTAATTTGGTGTCCCGTGTGGTCAGGCATTTCGAGTAAATCATTAAATGATAATTAGCTGAAGTCCAACAGTTTGTTTTCGACCATCCTCTGATTCCCTACTGGGTTAATAAGAGTTCAAGGATGAATAAACGTTAAGGTTACTCATTATTGTGTTAATTGATAAATAGATTACCGGCCATACTGCCAGTGTAGAAAAACTAATCGATAATCGGAATTTTTATTGGGCAGCATAGCAACTCGTGATATCGATTAGAATCTCTAGCCACAACAAGTCGATGTTCTCAGAAAGCAACACATCACATATTCAGTTACTTATTCCCTGTGTAGAGATATAGATATTTTACAAGAATGATTTCACTATGCAATGACAGCAGTCGAATATCAGTGGGGATTATATGTTTGCTTGTAATTGTTTATTTGTGTTCATTCACAACTACACTGAGACTCAGAGCTCAGGAACTTTAGGCCAGAAAGGCTGTTAATTTCGTTTTCACTTCCAATTCCAATACAGTGAACAGTTTTTATCCTCAAAAATTAGAGAAGTATTCACGGAGGACACAATAAACAGTAACTCGATTGAAATCTAAAGAATGTTTGTAGAAAGTGAGTAACAATTCGCATTTATTGAACTGAATCATTATAGTATTAGAAAAGGCTTCTCATCTAAGTGCTGGATTTTAAAAAGATAGTTCCACACCGTAATTGAAAACATGACTATTGAAATCAATAAGAAAGATTTGTTTATTTGGGCCTAGGATGCGTCAAGAGTAAACTACCACTTTAAGATGTTGGGGGTGTTAGATCTCCAGAACTCGCTTGATAAATATCTTCATTTTGGATTTATTTTATGGGCCGATCGGTTGGCCTTGAGATCACATTTCTCACCAGGAAAGAAGTCCTTGGCTGTGATTGGTTACTGTGTCATTTTAGTGTGCTATTTTTGTGACTGTCCGAAGGACGTCTCTATGGAGTATAAATAAACGCAATTTGAGTGTTTGGATTCATTGTGTGCTGTCTGGGTGTTTGTAGAATACACTTTCTACGCTATATCCAAACTTCTTGCTGTTACAGTTGGGTCAAAGGATCACAGTAGCCTACCTGGGCGCTGGTTCATTGTTTTGTTCTCGTTATTCGACTAAGGTAAACCCATACTAGTTTTAAGCATACCTAGAGACGAGTATAACAAGAAACCCCATTGTATATCTACTAGTTTACGTCCTCTATTGTATCAGGTTGTGTTTATCGTTGAAATCATTCTGTGTTCAATCAGGTTAAATGATATTACTCTGCCTGTCTACCCAATATTTGTAACTACTAATCATAGTTATCACATGAATGACAACCAAGTCAACATGTCGGTAATTGTCGACTACCTGGTTGGGGTCCGTGAGATGATAATAATCGATGGTTAGAGACCCTGAATGACATGGCTCAAAATCGCTCACAATGGCGCAGGTGCATTTATTCTTTGTGTTCCCTCAAATCCTAATCTTCTGGATTCTTCAACACCTCTAATACCCTTACTACCTCTTCTACTATTGGATTTGAATTGACAATTACATCTCCGTGCTGATGTGGTATGGCGACATGAACTGATGTACTTACGTACGAAGTTCTACGTTGCAACTGACTGACTGACTGACAAGTCAATTTGCACTTACCGGCATAGGCTTTGATCAGCGATTAATTACTTCATGAACTGATATAACACGTTTAACCACCGTTTACCACATTGAGGTGGGCAGTGGTACAACTATGAATATAACAGATTGTTGGGGACGTTAGATCCCCAGAACTCACTTGATTAAGATCCTAATTTTGGATTTTATTCATGGGCTGATCAGTTGAACTTGAGATTACATTTCCCATCCGTGAAATTCCTGACTGTTATTAGTTGATGTATTATTTTAGTACGCTATTTTTGTGGCTCTCCCAAGGACGTTTCTTTGATGCATAAATAAATTCGATTTGTGTGCTTGTGAACATCATATTTTCTCCGTGGTTTTAGAATACACTTTCTACGCCATATTAAGACTTCATCTTCTACTTAGTGGGTCCTTGGGACACTCGGATAAGAGTAGCCTATCGTGTCACTGGATCATTTGTCTTCACTCTCATTTACCGACTAAGGTGAACTCACAATAGTTTCAAGTATATCAACTGATGAGCATAACACAGATAATAAATAATTATTAAACAAGCGACTAGTCAACTTCTTACATCATTTTATGTATATATTTTACAGTTATTTTTAAAGATTTATTCATCTATTTATCTTATTTGTCATTTATAAATTCTAGCATTCTTGACATGGATAAATATTATGAAAGTTCGTTGGGCTACAAGAATTCAAAATATATTTACAGCAGCTAAATTGTTAGCATTGGTTGGAATTATTCTATCTGGTTTATATGTTGCATGTCAAGGTCAGTTTTTCAATTGAATCAATTCTAGTTGTTTAGAATAAATTGAGAATAATTTTACTAAATAACATTTGATAAATTCCTATAGTTTATATCAATAGCTGTTTTGTTCTGTTATGGGACAGACACTTTAATGATAGAACCACTCATCTACAGCCAAACCAGAGATTAAACAGTTAGGACTTCTTCGTTTTCGATGGTTATCGATTTAAGAACATTTCGTGAAGTCAGCTATAGAATTTGCAGTAACTGTCAATAAATTACTTGCGTTTTGCTCACTGGAGGAATCTAATAGTTTGCTATATTGACTCAGTTAATAAAGTTAAGGTCTACCGAGGTCTACCATGACGCAGGACCGAATGGAACAAGACCCAGTTTACTAGTAAAGTGTGTACAGCCTATCTTCAGCGATCAACTTATGAAACAAACAGATCGTCTTCTTTCATACGTTTTCTAGTATTCAAAACACTTTGATCGTGCTAACCACTTCGACAATAACTTTAGGGCAACACTCCACTGAATATTCAGTCCATGCTACTTAAAAGCCACGTTATGAGTCCCGTTTATTATTATACAGCCAGAATCTGAATAATAAAGAAATGTCGTTCATATTTTAAAATGGAGATCAGAATGAGTACCTGACTCATTTCATTTAAAGTATAGAAGTTTCAACTGAAATAATCATTACTTTACGTTGTTATTAGTTGTGCTTTTGTCCGAATCTTTTACTCAACTCGATTATAAATTACTATTCACTATAGAGTTTTGTTTGAAATCAAATATCGATCATTGTTAGTGCTACGATTGCCCGTAAACACGTCATTTGATACGCTTGAACTATTACGAGTTCATTTTAGTCAGTGAACAAGAGCGAGGATCGAGGATCCGGCGACATGACAAGCTATTCTAATCCTAGTGTCCCAACCCCCCATTGAGTAAAAGAATAAGACTTGATATGAAGCAGAACATGTATTCTACAAGCATCCAGAAAGTACGAGGTCCGAGTGCAGAAGAGAATCGGGATCTCGGACTAGGGATCCGGGTACGGGTGCGGGTCATAAAACGTTAAAGATAATGCGTATTTATACAGTTAGGTCGAATAGGAACCAACATTGAAGTATGTGACATTGACAGCTAAGGCGACCAATAGGAAAAAAATTTGCTGACCAACAACATTGAAGTATGTGACATTGAAACTTAGGACGACCAATAAGAAACGATTTTTGAAGTGACATTGATATCTAGGACAACCATAAAATTGACCAGTAGGAATTAACCAATGGGAATTGACCAACAGAATTAGACTTACAGGTAATTCTCTTAGGATATTGGATGAATATCCTAACAGTTAGATCACCATTAGAAACCTGGTAGCACTGGATGGCCGTTTTGTCTTAGTGTCGGACTCTTCAGCGGTGCGCATCCATGATTCAAAAAATAACGAGAATCGAACGAGTAGCGGTCGTTGGTGCGCGCTGCTAACGAGTCGCATATTGGGATGAAACAGCCATCTAGTGTTTCAAGCTTTCGAATAGTGGTCTAACAATGATCGATTCATGATTCCAATGTAATCATGACAATTTCCATAACTCTATGATGTAATCAATTTCCTTTTAACAAATTCTCAATGAAATTTATTTAAAATAAGTTGAAGAAACAAACGAATACACAGCTGGTTGTATTTTATTCATACCAGTGTATTCAATGTTCACTTGGTATATATAATTAAATAAAATTTATTAAACCATCAGTAATTTACTTTTTGTACCGGTAAATTGTTTGTCTCTCTCTCTGCATATGTGTGTGTGCGTGTATATATTTTGTAGGTAGGATAGAGAATTTCAATGATTTTTGGCAACCCGTTCGATCGATTCATCCATCACGTATGGCTTTGGCTTTTTATTCCGGTTTATTTGCCTATGCTGGCTGGTAAGTGTATTGAAGTTAAATAATAGTAGTGACAATAATAATAGTAATGATAATAATAATTAGGGTAGTCATTTAGAAACTCAAATATTTCTTTTTAAAGACTATCTGCATGAATAGATTGATATGTAGCGAGGAGGCGGAATTGATATTCCATGCCCTAATGGTGGTAAGATTAAAATAAGGTAGGAAGATTTAATTGTCATTTATACAAATCATAGGTAAACATACATACATACATACACAGATTATTCTTCTGACTCAAACACGGATCAAGTTGATCAAGTACACTATCGATCGGCTTCAATATCACACCGGGTTTATGATTTTTCACTTGACCTTGAGATGTCATGTAGGTTGTCTGTCTGGTTTTTTTTGGAAAGGAGATTGTCTAGACTTGTTCAGTTTAATAATTAACAATGTGAACAAGTGAATTATGATTCCATGTTTTTGAAGGTAATATATTCTCTACGAGAATTGAAAGTTTTTGGTCTTAAAAGCCTTTTTTTCAATTTATTTTGTTGAGAGGATATGTGGAGTTAACCGTTTGTGCTTTTCTGACATAACATTCAATTTCTCTTGTACACTCATGGAACACTAGTTTAGAACAACACATATAAGCGAACAATATTGTTGTTTTCGATTAGATCGTCATCAGGCTTTACTCTAATATACATGAATATTTATAGTGAAAATGTTAAAACCAATCAAGGCAATTTGAGTCAATAATCACAATGAAATGAAAAAGGCAAAAGTACAAGTGGATAGTAGGAAGATAGGTAAACAGATAGTAGTAGGAAAATTTATAAAATATGATAACTAAAGTAGGTCAAAGGTGGATGAATAGAATTCAAATAATCATCAAGAAACATCAAAAACATTACGTAATAAGCAAATGTGTAAAAATAAAAATATAATGTCCATCGTTAGTTACGTCATATCCGGCCACAGAAGAGATAGGAGTGTCACGAATTTCTTCTGAACACATAAATTAGGGTTGAATGTACGTATTCCTATGGCTTCTGCAATGTGTAGGAGACGGGATCGAACTCCGTTGGGAAATGATGGAGGTATGCGATAGATCACTCGAAAAGATCTAGATTTATCTACAATGTGACCACTATCTACCAGATGTGCTAAGATAGAACTGCGTATTGTTTTTGACTGACCTTTCGTAAACCATGCTGGGAGATGTTCACTCATTCGTTGGGTAAGTTGCCTGGAAGTACGCCCGATATAGCTATCGCCACAGAAGCAGCTGAATTTGTAAATGCACATAGAGGAGGCCAACTCAGATAACTTATCCTTCGTTTGGGTAGACATCGCTGGTCGACTGGAGAAAGTCAATGCAAGTTTAGCAGCGTTGAATGTTCTACTAATTACTCTTATTAATCTGTCCTGCAGAGTATCGCAGGCCACATCTCTGTTGAATTGTAACTTGCCTTGATTGGTTTAACATTTTCATATAAATATTCATGTATATTAGAGTAAAGCCTGATGATGATCTAATCGAAAACAATATTGAACACTAGTTTGTTTAGAACGAACAATGAACGATTTCCCGACATATATACGATCTACTCATTCTATCCTAGCAAATAATTTTAACGTACGTTGTCACAACTGATGTAATTAAATAATCACACAAATCGCCTGACCAGTATGTCTATTAATCAATAATCAAGTAAATACAAAGCGTAGGAAAAAATGTGACACATCAGATATGTCTATCTAACAGTCTGTCTGGAAACAACAACTTAGTCACACAGTTTACTATCGACTAAAAAATACCTCGTTTAAAAAAGTTATTTGTAAGAATCCATTCTTTGGGTTTGTTTAAAGAAATCTCATCTGTTTTCAACTAGCTTCCAACTGTCATAAACATCAAATATCTCACATAAAATTACCTCCAACGACAAAAGGTGTATAGTTTTTATAACTTCCTACTAACTAACTTCCTACTAAAATTTCTTTCTGTACTTTTTAATGATCTACTGATTTTGTCCTTGACTGACTGAACAATCTTCACACTCGACAGTGCCGGTGTAGTGTGTCGATTCAATGCGTGTTCTTAAGCTCAGTAATTAGCTCGTCTAGAACAATCCTTTACTAAATGGCGTCTGACGGTTTATAAATCAGAAGGTGAACTCGTTGTGATGAATACGTTTATTTGGGACACACTACAAAGTGAAGCGAAGAAGCAGTGAATAAAAGGGATGAAGCGACGTGAATTGGAGGAGGCTGTTGAGCCAACTCCTTAGATTACAACGCGAACGAATGGGCGAAGGAAGCAGATGAACAGGTGAAGCGCGTTGGAGAAGGCTAATGAGCCAGCTCCCGGAGATAGAGCGTGACTAAGAGTATATAGTCAGACAAAGATAAGACCAAGTTAGACCAAGTTAGATGTAAGCGAACTGGAATATATGTGGAGGCACTGCACCGGCATATTTAAAGTAGGGCATAACATTCATGAGAATCGATGATAGCCCCTCAAATGTCCACTATTTAACGCGAAAATGAACACTTTTCTGAATTTATACAAAAACTATACTATCCAATACGAACAAAAACCTTGTATAAGTGATCATTATGTTCTGTTTCAGTTTTACTAGTAGAGAATAATTTCATTCCTATATGCCACGACAAATAGTACATCTCCTAACATAGTATCCTTAACTTGTTGAGAAATTACTGGAGAACACTTACACAAAAATATAACCATTTAAACTGGAACAACTATTGATTCGTATCAGCTTTTAACAATGATCTATAGTCTCCTCAGATCTCTACCTAAAGATATGCCTCTGATAGTTCAGTCTTCGAAATATATATGGTAGACCCGTTTAGTTTAATGAACAAAATCCTCCGGATTAGGTCGGGGGGGGGTGGTATAGATGCTACTGTAATGTATATCATGTATGTATATCATCAGATTCCAACTCAGTGATTTAGAGGTTAAACGTCCACACATGGAGACCTAAAAGTCTACGGTTCGATCCCCCATGTATAGTTGTGGACGTGAACTGGTGAAGAGTGTCAAACTAAGACAAAAAACTATCCAGTGTTTCTTAATTATCGCTAGTGCTTTGACTAAGATAAGCTTGTGATTACATTATGAATTCTCAACAGGAGTATAGAGTATAGCTTGAGAGATTTTCAGTAACTCAAGGTGTCTGATTACAATGTGGACGAATGACTAATTATGTAAATGAAGTAAACCCTCCATTTAATTTCTGCATCTTATATTTAAGCTAACCTTGTCTGTATGACAGCGATTATGATCAGTTGAATACGATTCGAATTGACTGTGTTTATTCCGTACACTCGTGTATACAGACAGATATACAAAGAAGAAGCATAAAGAAGAGAAGTTTATGAGTGAAGTAAAGCAGAGAAGGCGAGTAGGTCAACTCAATTTGATAGTCATACAGAAGCAGCCAAGGTAATAAACAGGATCAAAATCTGTGTTAATAATAATGACTCGAGAAGAATGGATTAATTGGTTTGCTAAAAAGTTAGAACAAGTCATGTAAGCATGACAAAATGTACGTACACACCCCACGGATTCTTAAAATAACCATGATTTAGTTTAATCCATTGTAAGCTATTCGAAAAACAGTTGTAATTCAAGAGCTAATCAGCAAAAAATCTATTGAAGTGCTTTATAGGCTAATTTATCTGTAAATTGAAAAAGACACTAGCGTTATATATTCATTCATATGGTTGTGGATGATCCAACTTCACGAACACTATCGAGAACTCAAAGAGTTTCTTCAAAACTCACCATAGACAGATAGACAGACAGATACAACGCAGAACTTCGTACGTAAGTACATCAGTTCAGGTTGCCATACCACATCAGCACAGAGACGTAACTGTCAGTTCAAATCCAAGAGTAATAGCGATAGTATAATTATTAGCAGTAATGTAGAAGATTAGGGAGCGAAGATATGATTCAAAAAGTATGATTCAGTGAGATAAATTTAGAAGGAGAATGATAGAGATTATGAGGAATTCAGAAGGTTCGAATTAAAAAGTACACAAGGAGTGGATGCACCTACGCCATTGCAAACGATTTTGAGCCATGTCGTTCAAGGTCTCTAACCATTGGTGACTTTCGTCTCGCGGACCCCAACCAATTGTCAGTGACTTCATGGATGTGTCATGTTTTGGTTTGGTCACCACTAGCTTTCACCCAACCTACTCCTACTCCACAAAACATAGCTCGTCGCGGCAGTCGGTGGTTAAGCATACGTAACACATGTCCCAACCACCTCAACTGATGAAGTTTCAATGCTTCATCAATTGATTTGCCATTCTTACCTAGACCTCGTTTCCTAACTATAGCATTGCTTACTCGGTCGTCCCAGGATACACGAGCAATGCTTCGGATACAACGACGATCGAAGACTAGTAACCTACAAATGTCCTCTACTCTTAACGGCCATGTTTCACATCCGTATAGTAGGACAGAGTGAACTGCTGTGCAGTACACTCGTCCTTTAGTTAACAAGCGGATATCTCGCCTGCGCCATAAATGACACAGGTTGACAAAAGCCAATTTAGCCTTCTATATCCATGCTGAGATTTCGTCAGTCATCAGGCCATCGGCACCGATGAGACTCAAAAGTCACCATGATTTCTTGTGATTAGAGTTTAAAATTAACGATTTAATATTCAAGTTAGGATTAGGATAACACAATTAATTTTAGTTTGAAATATTTTATACAATCTGAGAATATGTTTTTCTATTTTTAACATTTTGACACCAAAAAAAAATTTCCATTCTGTGCTGACATGGAATAAAATTTTCCCCCCCAAAAACTGTCACATTTTCCAATTATTAAACAAGGTTATGTAATTTAAAATGAGCAAAAAAAAGAACAGAATTCATTTTAGACTTTAATTCCTCACGAAATGGTTTTCTCATTTCTATCTAACTCATCTCTTCTACCCTAGACTTTTATATATATCAAAAATATTCAATCCTCTCATAAATTTAATGCTTCAGCCTATTCTGATGCGATAAACAATGACAGTGAACCAATTTTTCTGTTTTTTCTAAATCTCTTATACATAACTTTTAGTGAAAGAATGTTCTTTTTTTATCAGATGTAAAAATAAACTAATCTAGAGCGATATGGCATTTCATGTGAATGATAAAACATGTTGCGTTATTATTATATTTAGCTCAAAAAGATTGTTGGTTTTTTTTTCACTTGTTGCTTGAACTTGCTTAATCTTGAAAATTGCAAAACAATCTCATTATTATTATTATTAGTTATGCATATATCACATGAGATGTTAACATTTTATCTTGTTTTGTAGTGTATTGTTGAGTTCGTTTGTGTTTTTTTATTAAACAAGGAAAAAACTAAACTAAACTAAACTTTACACATTTTTGAAACCATGAATAGATCAATGTTGAACCACCACTAGAAACCTGGAAGCACTGGACGGCTGTTTCGTCCTGGTATGGGGCTCTTCAGCAGTGCGCACCCACGACTCCTGCACCCCGCAGGATCCGAACCCAGGACCTTCGGGATTGTGCGCAAACGCCCTAACCGATTGACCACTGAGCCGGTATCTAACGGTGTTAATGTCTAACTTGATCATATTCACGGAGTTGCGCAACCTCATACACAGTCTTCGGTAGTTACTGTCTACACCCGAACAGGTTGAACTTCACTGGTCACGTCTTCCCACTAGAACTCGGAGAAGATTCCTCACGAAGCTAGTCACTAGTGAGCACAGGTAATTTGCATTACGGGGTTGTGAAGATTGTTAAGTTACACATTTTTGAAACCATGAATCGATCAATGTTAGACCACCATTAGAAACCTGGAAGCACTGGACGGCCGTTTCGTCCTGGTATGGGACTCCTCAGCAGTGCGCATCCACGACTAAACTTAACTTAACTAGAGCATTCAAATTTCAATCTGTTGTATAAAACAAAAGTTCAAGATTTTTATGCATATATGATTGTTTGTTTCTCTTGTAATTTTTTAGGAATTTTTTGAATATTATTACTGAAGAAATTCAAAATCCTGAACAGTAAGTTGTGAATATTTTCGATTTTAATTAAATATATATTTTTGTGTTACAAGTAGATATAAGATGATGGATGGCTAGTAGAGTGGAATTCAAGATATGTGTGTTTCTGTTATAATATCCTACCTATTGACCGAATTTCGATATTCTGGTACGACCGCGATTACTGTTTGCAGATCTCTAATATATCAGAACACAGTACCGTTAGATGAAGTTGTTTTAGGGGGTTGAGTAGAGAAGGAATAATAAGCTTTACAGATAATGCATATTTGTACAGTTAGGTCGAATACGAAACAACATTGAAGTATGTGACATTGACAGTTAGGACGACCAATAGGAGTTGACCAATAGAACTAGGCTTACAAATAATTCTCTTAGGATATTGGATGAATATCCTAACACCTTCCTCTGAAGAAATTGAAGCGACACTAGTGTCTATTTGCATCTGGACTGTTGTTTGCTGCTGTCGGAGCTTTGACATGAAGACACTCAACCAATTGGTACAAGATGTAAGACCATTATAGGGTACTTCTGAGCGGTTTGGCTTCTTATATGCTTAACGGGGCATCTGCTAATGTTAGCTGTTTGAAGTGAGGTGAACTGGGTGTAGCAGGGGGCACATCTATTCTGGTTAGTTGACAGTTGCACTACACTACGTCAGATTGACTTGATCTACCACAGTCATGTCACGATGCAGCTTGGTATTCACCAACATCTTCATTAGTTTAGCTGCTGCTCGGGTAATAATTAAAGTCTCGCAGGATCACTGGTATCCCATCCCCATCGCGAATTGTTACGCATGCACGTAAACACGTCATTTGATATGCTTGAACTATTACGAGTTTACCTTAGTCGGAAAACGAGACCGAGGATCGGTGATCCGGCGACATGACATACTACTCTAGTCCGAGTGTCCCGAACCCCCATTGAGTAAAAGAAGAAGACTTGATATGTAGTAGAACTTGCATTCTACAAGAATCCGGAAAGTACGAGGTCCGAGTCCAGAAAAGAATCAGGATCCCGGTTTAGGGATTCAGGTCATAAAACGTCACAGGCAAAACGTATTTATACAGTTAGGTCGAATCGGAAACAACAATGACGTATGTGACATTGATAGTTAGGACCACCATTAGGAGTTGGCCAATAGAATTAGACTTACAGGTAATTCTCTTACGATATTGAATGAATATTTTAACAGTTTCAACCTACTTTGGACTCATCAGCTGAATGTATCTGTAGTGACCAGTGTATCGCTAGTTTCGTGAGTGGTCGGTATCCAACATGTTCTTAGACTTCGTAATTTGCTCGTCCAAACAACCGTTACTAAATAGCGCCTCACGGTTTATAAATCAGAAGGCAAATACGTAGTGTTGAATACGTTTATTTGACACACCACAAATAGACTACAAACCGCAGGCAAACGGAGTGAAATTCAAGGAAGCTAGTGAGTGAACGAATTGGCGAATGAATTTATCAGATTAAAAAATACATATATATACATAGGAAAATGGCTGAGTCATCAAAATATTTAATAGGTTAACATGAAAAGCCACTAGGATGAATATTTGCAAATGCGGTAAGCAATGTTCAGTCGTACCAGCTGATACAAATCAGTCAATAGTAAAAGCAAATGGTACATATAAGTTAATACTATACAAATGGCTTGGTTAAATAAGTTAATCAAAGGGCTCAGCCAAATTAAATATGAGCGAACTAAAATATTTTCGGAGGCACTACATACCTGCATCCTCAAGTTGATGTTATCTCAGGTAGTGTTCACTTAAAACGCCATCGCGTTATCCATTCGGTTACTGGGTCCCAGATAGTTACTGGCTTGTGCAATTGAATTGAGGTATATCCAATTGACGAGTCATAAATAAGATGTAACGCGCATCCTGGATTCCACTGCCAGACACCATCCCTATCTACTTATGATGTTTATGACATCGAGGCGGTTCGCACAAGACGTACATGTGCCAAACAGACTGTAGTCACAAAACCATCAGTGAGAAGATCTAAACAACCAATATAAATGAATAGTTTATATTATTGTTGTTTTCATATATATTCTTACATTGTATCCTTATTCTGTTGTGTATCAGCATAAAGGAAATAGCGTTTGAATTCCACTTTCACTATGATAGAACACTAATTTGCTTAGGATGAACACTGAACGTGATATGCTTGAATGCGATTAAGAGTTCACCTTACTCGGCGAACGGAACAAAGTTCAACAATACTGTGACACGATAGGCTATTCTGATTCGATTATCCCCGATCCTGCTAACTATAGTAAGAAGTCTTTATAAGTCGGTATATGTTCATATACATCTTACACTACACTAGATACCCTGCCAACACTATCCCACCAGACGTGAACATAGCTCGAATCAAGAACACATGATTCACCTGACTAGAACATGCGTTAGTCGACTATGAACAACTAAAAACATATAAATACAGGGGATACACAATTTTTTATATATGAGACACCAAATACCAGTTAGACTCTCTATCAGTCTATCTAAGTAAACAATCAATCAGTATTTCCTCTCGTCGAACACAACAAACTATCAAATATTTTCATACATTTATATTTATTACATATTGATAATTTACAGGCAGTTGGATTTAGAAGAAAAAAAATGCACGTTTGCATCTTGTGTGTAGTTGTTAGTGTACGTCTTGGGTGGCTGATCACAATTTCCAGCAATTGTTATGCTCGTCAGTTGATATGCTTGGACTATTACGAGTTCATCTTAGTCGGTAAACGTGAGCGAAGACAAATGATCCAGTGACACGATAGGCTACTCTAATCCGAGTGTCCCAAGGCCCTACTAAGTAGAGGAAGAAGTCTTGATATGGCGTAGAAAGTGTATTTTACAACCACCGAGAAAATATGAGGTTCATAAGCACACAAATCGACTTTAATTATACATCATAGAAACGCCCTTGAGAGAGCAACGAAAATAGCGTGCCAAAATAACACATCAACCAATAACAGTCAGAGATTTTCCGGGTGGGAAACGCAACCTCAAGGTCAACTGACCAGCCCACGCGCTAAAACATAAAATCCAAAATTAGGACCTTTATCAATTGAGTTCTGGGGATCTAACGTCCCCAACAATAACACAGAAAAAAATCATAGTTAAAACAAACGTCATATACTCTTTGATTTTGAAATCGTACTTTGATCAAGGTAAAAATATATTGAAATAGTGTAATCGTAGTGATAATCACGAAAAGTCTGGACATTGAGATAGAGGTTCATAAAGGTAGAGTGAAAAAAATATTATTGCGTGAGTAAATCATCGTGAACTATTCTGAGCCGTGTCAGTCATATCCTTCAATCACTGATTGACATTACTGTACTGAACTCAAGCAAATAGCTATTCATCTTGTTGTGTGAAAACGGTATGAATTGCCTTCTGTGAAACCTTTCCATGGTTATATTTATAAGATTGGGGATAGCTATCTTTCGTCATCTTGATAATATGATTAGCAATACTGAATTAAAGTATGAATTCCCGTTGGACTGTTTACTTACAAGACTTAAAGATTTTGAACTGAAATTCCGATGAAATAGGTTTGTTTTAATATTTTAGATTTCTTAAATTAGTAAACATCTGTTTCAAACTTCTAAGCTTTTATTTTTTCAATCGTCTTTTATGAGAATGTTGTTGATCAGTATCATATGACAAATACAAAACGTCAGTCAGAATTACACGTTAGCACCAGAATCCTTAAGTCAGCTCTAGTCAGCTCCTTATTGATCTACACCTTGATAATTGATTTTTTTTCTACCCTGCCTTTTAGTCCAGAAGTCCGTAGACACAAGCTTCACAAAATTAGTTATATTTCAAGCGGACGCAGTTTATATACCAAACATACCAGACCATATTAAACCATAGAATCAGAAAATACATTTACACATGAACAAGCTAAAAGTGGCTGTGAATAAGGGAGTCAGTGAGTCAATCAATCAATCAATCAATCAGTCAATCAATAGCATCATAGAGCTTCTTACGTACGTACGTACACACATCAGTTCATGTTGCCATACCACATTAGCACAGAGTGTAACTGTCAATTCAAACTCCATACTGAATGATAACGTGGCAAGAGATTCAGAAATAGCAGATCATTCAAAATGAGTTATTGGGTCAATTAAATAAAACTTATGACAAAAGGAATATCAACATGTAATAGTCTAGCTACTTGATAATTATACAATGAGGCTACTTTGCACAATGACAATCCGTAAATTAGTTGTGGAAAACTATCGTTCCTCTAATCGTCTTGCTGATATGGCTAGAAACTATGGTGGTTTATGTTGATAGGTTTCAAAGATTCACTGGGCAGTGGCTTGGAATACTTCATTCATTTAGCGTTCCTTAGAAAGGCTACAAATTACGTATTATATCCTGGCTGATTAAAATTCTTATTTTTGATGCCTAAATCAACCTTAGTAGTAAGACTTCTCTTCATACTTTTCATCTATGGTTTCCCCTTTTGTGGTTCAAGTCTGGAAGGACTATGACAAAGTAATAAGTAATAAGAATGTTAATGCTACATTTTCAACTATCAAATGTGACAGTTTATGGTTTTAAGAGAAAAAGAGGAACAGAAGGATAGTTAAGTAGTTCTATACTGTTTTCTTCACACTATGTTTACGTTGAATTTTGAACATAAACTAAAAAGTATGCAAGCAATAGATGTAATATTGTAGTGAAGGAGAACACAGGTGAGGGCAACCGAATTGTATTTAACGAAAATTACAGAGTTACTCAGTAAAATAGGAAAACCATATCGTAAATCGTTAATTTGCAAATCTTCAATCCATTGTCTGACACTTCACTATTCATGTGTTTCATACAAATTCCATTGTGTTCCCACTCTTCCTTCCTTGATCTTTCCCCATCTTCGGCTGCCAGACATTACGTTTACACTCACGTCATATACTACTTATAAGTAGCGCGCACCACAATGTTAGCTAGCTAACAATCAAATCTAGGATTTACATTTGGTAATATCATTATCATTCCAGTTATTCTATGAAGAAAAAATATGTAATACCTTTAACGAGAGAAAATATTACTCATTAAAACTAATTGAAATTCAATTGTCAATATAAACAATGGTAGAATATAAACTATTTTTAATGAATAAATTTAAAATAAAGACATCGAATATATGGACTTCATTTTGATACCTATGAGTTATACAACATAATAACTAATAAAACTTTTATAAAAAGACTGAATAAACAGACTCATATGGTTGATATAAACTGTACTACTCATAACTCGGGTCCCATATAGTCAGAAAAAAAATCGAAACTTCGCTATCACGATAAAAAAAAACATGTCCCGACTTGAGACAAAGAGTATTAAATGTCTTTAAGCTCATTTGCCTCAAGCTAGGCTGTACCTCTTACTAACCTAAGCAAAACAGATGTATATACCATAAGCTAGATTGTGCGATATAGATTTGAAGGCTTCCTATGAGACTAGAGGTTCATTAGAAATATTGTGGATGGTTTGTCAAGTTTTGCTAATTGTCCAAATAAGAATATGGTTAGCGGGGTAACCAATTTCATTGATACTGGTGTTTGCCTTGGAATATTCCCGAGGGACATTGTCATTGAGGTACTGTATTGCATGTCACCATTGTTAATAATAATGAGTTTGACAGTCATGTAAGTGGGATAGGTCAAATTGGCCTGTTCATGCTGTGCATACTGATTGACATGATCATGGATCGGAAATAATCACTATATATATATATATATATATATATATATATATATATATATATATTGGTGTACATATAGGATGTTAGGTGCTTGTGTGGTTACTGCACAAGATTGAGCTACACTTTTCAGGCTGTAGTGTTTACATTTGGACACTATCTCGTTGTCCTGAAAATGAATGTAAAACTACCCTTCTCTGTTGAGAGTAAATTTACATATAATTGTGTGTTAAGTAATATTATATATGAGTCAATCATTGTTAGACCACCATTAGAAACCTGGAAGAACTGGACGGCTGTATTGTCTTAGTATGGGGATCTTCGAGAGTGCGCATCCATGACCCAAAACGAACGGGAATCGAATGAGCGGCGGTTGTGAGTGCACACTGCTGATGAGTCCCATACTTGGGTGAAATGGCTGTCCAGTGCTTCCAGGTTTCTAATGATCATGCCAATTAATATGTACAACATGAATGGGTCAGTTTGACTTATCCCGCTTATATAACTTTCAAACTTATTATTATTATTATTATTATTATTATTATGAATGGTGATGTGCATTACAGCAGCCCAATGACAATGGCCCTCGAAAATGTTGCAAGACAACCATCATCAGTATCAATGAGATCGATCACTTTGAGAACCAAATTTGTATATGACCTATTAGCAAAACTTTCCAAAGTAATGCCGAACCATCCATATTGTTCATCACAATAAACCTCTGGTCTCATAGCAAAACCTTCAGCTCTATAAAGCAATATAGCTTATGGTATATGCATCGTATGATCGATTCATGATTTCAATGTGTAAAACAATAATCTCCTTAACTCTACAATAAAAAATATTATATATAACTTGTGATCAACACAGTTAGGGCGTTCGCGCACAATACCGAAGGTCCTGGGTTCGAATCCTGCGGGGTGTAGGAGTCGTGGATGTGCACTGCTGATGAGTCCCATACCAGGACGAAACGGCCGTCTTGCAGTGCTTCCATGTTTCTAATGGTGGTCTAACATTGATGGATTCATGCTTTCAAAAATATATATATATATATATATATATATATATTGTACAGAAATTTGGTAAAGAAATCTGTTTGACTTATCAGTTTCTATTACTGATTTAAAAAGTAATTTGTTTTTCAGTTTCCCATATTACACAATGAATTTGAAATAACAGAAAAAAAAGATTTTTAAGAAAAAAATACGGAGAAGTAAATCGAATCGTTATGAAGAAAAGAAAAAGATCAGTTGCATTATAAGGTTAAAGAGTTTTTCAGGAAATCAAAATATCATTGTTATAAATTTAAATGAACATATTATTAGCATTTTTCTATTCAAATGACATTTAGTCTTGTAAATAGTGTGTCCTTAAATTTTATTTGATAAATTATTTTGAAGAGATTTGTAGAAATAAGAAAATAACTAGTTTTTTATAATGAAAAATATGATCATTTTGGTAGATTGTGTTACGCATGTATGTAAATACATCAACTTGATATGCTTGGACTATTGCGAGTTTGCTTTGGTCGGAAAACGAGGATCGAGGATTCGATGACACGACATGCTACTCTAATCCAATTGTCTCAACCACCATTGAATAAAAGAAGAGGACTTGGTATGAAGTAGAACATGTATTCTACAAGCATCCATAAAGTACGAGGTCCGAGTCCAGAAGAGAATCGGGATCTCGGACCAGGGACCCGGGTCCAGGTCCGGGTCATAGAATGTTACAGATAATGCGTATTTATACATTTAGGTTGAATAGGAAACAGCATTGAAGTATGTGACATTGACAGTTAAGACGACCAATAGGAAACAACATTTGAAGAGACATTGAAATTCAGGACGACCAATAAGAAATAACATTAGAGAACGTGACATTGATATCTAGGACGGTCATAAAATTGACCAGTGGGAATTAACCAATAGGAATTGACCAACAATTCTCTTAGGATATTGGATTCATATTCTAACAAATTGTAAGGAACCGAGGAGTACTGGAAATCTGTTTCGTTTTGGTTTATAATTCTTTAGCAATATGTACCTGTGACTGCACCATCAAAGGTCAAATATAGTACTCTGAGGCCTTGGAATGATGTCGTTACCTTGAGATCATTGAGTCAGAGTATGATGGTTTAATTTACCAACTTCTGTCAATTTAAAATAAACTGCGGTTGCACTCTATCCTCACATTAACTTAGTCGCCAGAATGTGAACACTTGAATGCCAAACGCATTGGTCTAGCGGCTAAGAATATGCTGAGATACTTGGGGGTTTCGGATTCGATCTCTAGTGGACTTCTAAGTGAGCATTAGTGAAGTGTCCCGTGGTAGGACGAAACGGTTGTCTAGTGTGGTGTGTCTGAGGCATTAATCATTATTACTTTGTATGTCAGTTATTCACAAATGCGGTTATTTAATTTTTATATCCCGTTTCATTGCAGTCAACATCATTAACCTTGCTCTATACGTAAGTACGATTCGTTTTGACATTCATTTCTATCCTCAACCATGGTTCTGAAAGAAAAGAACGTAGCCAAGATTTCAATATTGGTATCCAAACGACACATGGATTTATATACAGACATACTGGATTGCATCATACCATAAAAGTAGGAAATCATAGTGATATACAACAACATAAGCTAAAAGTTTCAGTGAACTAAACAATTTGTAAATAATTTTATTAAAATTGAACTGATAATAATAGGATTTACTGTGACAGCGAACTTACAATAAACGAAATATAGACATATAATAAATACATTTTTGAAACCATGAATCGATCAATGTTAGACCACCATTAGAAACCTGGAAGCATTGCAAGACGGCTGTTTCGTCCTGGTATGGGACTCATCAGCAGTGCACATCCACGACTCCTGCACCTCGCAGGATTCAAAGTGGTCCGATGGTTAGGCGTTCGCGCACAATACCGAAGGTCCTAGGTTCGAATCCTGCGAGGTGCAGGAGTCATGGATGCGGACTGCTGAGGAATCCCATACCAGGACGAAACGGCCGTCTTACAGTGCTTCCAGGTTTCTAATGGTGTGAGTCTAACATTGATCGATTCATGGTTTCGAAAAATGTGTAACTTAACAATCTTCACAACCCCGTAATGCATATAATAAATAGTCAGATTATTGATCATTTAGTGACTCGGGAACAAACAATTGAATGTACTGTGAAATAAATGTTTCCTATGATTTCCGTCTATCATTCTCAGGCGAACGTTATTTATATGACAGTAGCGGTGATTATAAGAAACCCAATACAGTTTATTTCATACATATCATTAACTGTTTAAAATTAATATTAAAAAAAATGTACAATAATAATAATAATAATATTCATTATTTTTCCATTTTTAGAAATTTACCACGATCTATTTATATTAGTATTACAATTGTAACAGTGGTTTATGTATTGACAAATATGGCATATTTCATTGTACTTCAACCGTATGAAATTATTCAATCAAATGCAGTCGCTGTGGTATGTGAATGAACATATTCAATATTATTATTATTATTATTATTTCAATTGTCAATGTTTTATTTTATTATTTTACATGAAATATTAATCTATGATACTATTGGATTGAAAATTATAAATATATGTGTAGTGAACGAGAACACAGGTGAGAGCAACCGAATTGTATTTAACGAAAATTACAGAATTACTCAGTAAAATAGGAAAACCATATCGTAAATTGTTCATTTGCAAAATATCAGTTCATCATATAGAACTGGACTGTTCCTGTTGCAAGACATCAATCCATTGTCACTATTCATGCGTTTCATACAAGTTCCATTGTTTTCTAACTCTTCCTTTCTTGATCTTCCCCCATCTTGTGCTACCAGACATTACGTTGACGCTCACGTCATATACTACTTATAAGTAGCTCACACCACATATGTATTGAATGACATTGAAATAAGAATTTCCAGAGTTATATTGTTTATTGAACTAGGAAAGTTTTATCTGTGTCGTCTGTTAATCAATGAAAGGCTACTCGAAGTTAAATTGTTATGTTGCATGGTGTCCAGTACTATGTCACATAATTATTCAGTTTTGATATAAATATACATATGTTTAGTGGCAATCGAGTCGCGATTGACTGTAATCACCACTAAATACTTATTACTAGCCAGTCACTGAAAAGATAAGTAAGTCCATATTAAAGAATATATTTGCTGGTGATTTCGTGGTATCGAAGCAATACCGAAATCATGCCAGAAAAGATGGGCGAAATTACACAGATGGTAGAGTGAAAATTACAGTAACACAAACAGAAAGTTTGCGCGTACAAAGTTGTAATAAACGAAGAGGTTCAATAAAACAATCATTGGTACCATTGGTTATAATAATGAATGTTTCTATCTAACCCATCGCGTTCTCTTCATAAAAGTGGGTATACTACGTCGTATGTTTACTCCTTATGAAATAAAATCATTTCTTGCTCAGTGTTGGGGATGTTAGATCTCCAGAACTCGCTTGATAAATGCCTTATTTTGGATTTCATGGTTGCGAACATGGACTGATCAGTTGACATTGAGATTTCATTTTCCAACAGGAAAATCTTTGGCTGTGATTGGCTGCTGTGTATTTTAGTGTGCTATTTTTGTGACTATCCCAAGGAAGTTTCCATGATGTATAAATAAACGAGAGTTGTATGCTTGATTGTATTGTGATTGCTGGGTGTTTGTAGAATATACTTTCTACGATTATCAAGACTTCTGTTTCGCCGTTTTCGGACTAAAGTAGCCTACCTGGACGCTGGTAATCGTGTCGTTCGCGTTTATCGACTAATGTGAACTCAAGCATACCTAGTGTCGAACTTAACATTCAGTCACATTCACTTGCTATTAGATTTTTAGTTGACATTACGTGACCTTTTCGTTAGACAACTTTTGATTGGCCTAGTGTATCAAAAATACAAGTTCATTAGGGATACATAAGTATTCCAGAATAGTCGATATATAACACAGTTACAAATATATACGCTCTATTGACCTCAGAATAAGATATCTGGGTGGAGGACCACTGTTAACACTTTTAAAATGATGAAATATGAGATCCTATACGACAACAGTACAACGAAACTTCACTCATTACTGAACTCATTTATCTTCAAACAATACTTGGAAGACTAAAGTTAATTGGATACAGGTTGAAGAATTAACTCTAATTTAACGGCTGATGAATTCCCGTTGTTTTCTATTTCTTAAAGTATGTTTTTCCGATAATCAATACACTTTTATTTCTCCTTTCATGTACTGTTTACAAACTGAAGTTTAAGAAATGATATTTATTGTTTCCCTAAACTGAGACTTTTCAATATAACTTGAAGCTTTCTTATTCTCTGCCTTTGTTTAACCAAAATTAATGATCTTATTGGTTTTCATATACACTTACTTTTCTGTATGAATTCAGTGAAATAGCTTTCTTCCAGTTTACTCCATAAGCGACCTATGTCATGTTTATCAAGTCCTTTTTAGTACTGATCGGATTCTATCGGTCAGACTGCAGTATGACTACTAGTCTAGATGGCTTGACATCACGTACACTATGTGTGGATGTGTAAGGCGGTAGTTGGAAGGAGTTAACAGGAAATCCTGGATTTAGACTTCTTGCTGCTTGGCCCTCATCAGAAAGGAGTACCTGTAATCTTGGAAGGAACTTATGCTCCCAGGTAAATTTGATCCCGTGTCGCCTAGCTTCATAGTGAAAAATGTCACTACTGAGCTGTCCAGTCCGTAAATGACATCATGTAGGACTGACATGAGATTGATCAGTGGCTGATTACCGCTGTCATGTGTATCAAATTTTTCTTAGTGTAAATATTCTTATAAACTACATCTCAATATTTCGTTATAAAATCCCTGAAAGATTGATGAAACAGCTTGTATAACACATGCTTTAATTTCGAGTTCATTTTAAACAAGCAGGAAAAAGAATGGATTATTGGTCATTTTCAATAGTATCTATTTTGAATCGATCAGTGTGAGACTACCATTGGTAACCTGGAAGCACTGGACAGCCGTTTCTTCATGCCTGGTATGGGACTCATCAATGCTCCCAGGTTTCTAATGATTTTCTAACATTGACCATTTCGCAATTTCAAAAAGTAATTCAACAATCTTCACAACTCCATCATGGAAACAGTATCTATATATCTGTCTACATTCACTAGCCAATCACAGCTGAGATTGTCTGGACCACTAACGATAGGATTGTCAAAATCATCAGAATATATAAAACCACTATAAACAAGTTAATTTGGCTCTGTATTTTCTTATTTGTTATATTAATACTTTCAAGACATTTGCTGCTCATTTATATGGACAATTCTCATGGATCATGTCAATATTTATTTCATTATCCTGTTTTGGCGGTTTAAATGGAATCCTATTTACATCAGGCAGGTTAGTTTTAGCGAATTCGCTTGATGCTTTCATTTCATTATGATTTAACTTCATATGAAGTAGACTGTTTTTATTTTAGAATTGCAAAACAAAATAAATCTTAGTTTGATGAAGTCTCGTCCTTTGGGCGGGATATTTTAGTTGTGGAGCTGTCATTGTTCTTTTGAACAAGATTATCAGTACAAACTTCAGTTAGGAGTGAGGGACTGCAAAGAACACTAGAGAATTTCTAGAAGCTTGACACTCAAGTAAATCAGCAATCAATCCAATCTATCAACCAGTCGGAAAAATCGTAGACAAACATAGGATCACAAAACAGATCAAAGGTGGATAGAATCAAAATAAAGATGTAGACAACATCAGGTTAAAGGTCAGTAGCAGCCAATCAAGATCGAGGTCAACAGGTCAAGTTATGGGTCAAATGTGGGAAATTTGGGATACTTCAGTCAGTCAGTCAGTTGCAACGTAGAACTTCGTACGTATGTACATAAGTTCATGTTGCCACACCACATTAACACAGAGACGCAAATGTCAAATCAAATCCCATAGTGATAAAGATAGTAGGGGTATTGATGGTAATGAAGAAGACTATGGTTCGAAGATATTATTCAAGAAGTATGATTCAGTGAGATAAATTTAGAAGGAGAAAGGTAGAGGTGCTGAAGAATCCAGAAGATTAGGATTTGAGAGAGCTCAAAGAGTGGATGCACCTGCGCCATTGAAAACGATTTTGAGCCATGTCGCTCAAGGTCTCTAACCAGTGGGGAATTTCGTCTCACGGACCCCAACCAGGTAGTCTACATCTACCAACATGACTCAGTCCACTTGTCAGTGACTTCATAGATTTGTGCCATGTTTTGGTCTGGCCGCCCCTAACTTTCTTCCAACCTACTCCTACACCACAAAACATAGCTCAATGAGGCAGTCGGTGGTTAGGCATAAGTAACACATGTCCCAACCACCTCAACTGATGAAGTTTCACCACTTCATCTATTGATCTGCCATCCTTACCTAGCACCCGTTTCCTAACGACAGCATTGCTTACTCGGTCGTCCCACGATATACGAGCAATGCTTCTTAGACACCTTTGATCGAATACTAGTAACCTACGAATATCTTCTACTCTTAACGGCCATGTTTCACAGCCATATAAGAGAACGGAACGAACTGCTGCGCAGTACACCCGCCCTTTGGTTAGCGAACGGATATCACGCCTACGCCATAAGTGACGCAGGTTGGCAAAAGCCAATCGAGCCTTCTGTATCCGAGCTGAGATTTGGTCAGTCACCAGGCCGTCAGCACTGATGAGCCTCCCCGGATAAGTGATTGGGATACTTCACCTCTGCTGATGTTGCGAAAGAGAATAATGAAAGCTCCATAACCAAAACATCTGACTCAGAGAACGCAACTCTATCATAATCATCCACTTGAGCTACAAATTTCCTCTACCATCTCAGAATTTTAATATTTCACAACTATTAATTCCAGTACCTGTCTATCTTTGTATTTAGTCTATGGAAAGTAAAATACAAATCCAGTTGTCACGTCGATAGTTGATTTTGTGTATTTCCATCGAAAGGCAAAAATATAGGCGTTGAAATGATTTTCAATTCCCTTGACGCCAACTTATAGAGGCTAACCAGACAGGAGAACGAACAAGTCGTTTAGGCTCATGCAACATAGATCAAAAGAGAGTGTTATCTGCAGAACTTGGATAAGTAGTTTTAATGAGTAAAGGAATATTAGTTACTTAAGTTCAAGGTTAGGAATAGGATTTAAGATTAAGGATTTAGAGTTTACTCTCAGGTTATAGAATTTTCGATTTGAGTACCTAATGATTCATAGAACGTAATTCACATCTTAAATTATAGTCCCGATAGTCTGAAAGTTGGGGGTCCATTTAAATCGTAAAAAATTCCTAGATTCTTTGAAATAATTTATCTTTGTAAATACGACAATGATCCATGAGTTCAACTTTTTTCAAGCCCTAGCTTCATCCTGCATTAACTCTCTGAGTTGTACTACTGAAAAATTAGCAAGTAGTATATTGTGCTCAACTAAGTTTTTTTCTCTTGAAACAGGTTTCTCAATAAATTTGTTGTTTACTTATTATTTTGCTCAATGATTTGAACTGCTTATTCAGAATCAATGTAGGATGGTTGAGTTTTGGCTTATACACACTCGAATACGTTGATTTGGCAGTCATGTGGATTCAGATTTTATACAAACCATACTGTTAGAAAAACGTTTTTCATTCCCTGATGATGCCTAGAAGGGTATCCCACTGTATAGTCTTTAACTTTCAGTCAGTAAATAACAGGTCAGGACCCCCGCTTCATGTATTTCGGGTGTGACAACCAAGTATATATCACTAGCTCTCACAGTGTGAAAATTTAGCTCAAACCTAAGTACACAAATCTATGTCCGTGATAATAGAGGTGTGTCATGAACTGAATGCATTTGAAAAATAAGAATAAACAATTCTGACTCAGAAACTAAATATCAAGTTGTTCTCATTGAAACTTAAAAATATTCTGAAACTAATTTGATATTAATTTGTATGCATATATGAACCGTTGATCACAATTAAACTAGATAACTACCTGAAATTTTCATTAATTTTTTCCAAAAGATATCGATTTGAGTAAAAGTTTATAGTTGTAGCAAACTACCATAAAAAACTTGATTAAAACTTGTGGTGATATGAAATTCTACTAAGCTGGTGTGGATCATATATGAAATACCTATTATTTCTAATCATTGTTGTGATATTTCTAGAGATTTTATTGAGATATTTATCTGTAATATATACGAAAATGGAAATATGATTAATTATAGCGATAATTGGAGTTCTTTTTAGATTATGTAATTATCCACTTCAGAGACACATTCTTTTCACATATACTTGCCGCAGTCATCAACAAGTTTAGAAACGACTGAGAAATTAACAGGAAACTGTAACTGTCGAAGTGAATTGTAACAGACAAAGGCCATAAGTATATTATACATATGTATATATATATACCTATTTGTGTGACCTCAATCAAAGTAGATGTAGGCTGAGGTCCTGACTAAAGGCATAACCACCCTAGTGCATCATCTTGCCTTGTTTGTAATCTGTCACTTATCGTTTTGCCTTAAGAGGTATGTGTACACACGTAGTGTATACTGCTCACAAAATGGCTAATGAGTAGTATGCAGCGAAGTGTCACCCTGGGGATATTACTGAAGTGAAGAGTATCGGATCCAGATTTATAGTGAACAGTGTTTTGAAGACCAGAAGACATATGGAAGAAGACAGTCAAAGATCTGCTTGTTTTTCAAATGAGGTCTGAAGTTAAGGTGTACATACACATTCAATCTCTTTTTTTCGTAGCGTAGTACAACATGTAGAATAAGTAAATATAAACCTAATATGCAATAAATACCCATTAGAAAGGAATTTTGAAATGATCGAAACTATTGGATATAACATCTTATTCGAATGTATATAGAAATAATAGGATGTTGCTGGCAGTGTTACTCAGGACGCACATCCTGTCCTCTTTGGTACTTGTCAGATGGATGTACGTTCATCCTAGAGTTGATATATTCACTCCAAGACTCAAACTCAGCACCATTTGGTTCAAGTACCATCATGTTATCCACTTAACTATCAAGTCCAAATACATCTAGCCGACGAATCCCTAATAAAGACGAAACGCACGTCCTGAATGGCTATATCTAGGGAATCTGCATAGGATGCTCGCTCATATGTCAACCAAGACTGACTACATTTCATTCAAAACACCAACAACAGAATAATTTAAACAATTTCAATAATAAATGATCACTTTAAAGATCAGTTTAAAATAAAATATTAAAGAAAAGTTTCAATTTTATTTCTTCTTCTTCTTCTTATTATTATTTAGATTGAATTTTGTTGCAGCTAGAGAAGGTCAATTGCCTGCTTTATTAGCTACAATTCATGTTGAACGTTTAACACCTGTACCAGCTATTTTATTAAATTGTTGTTTAAGTTTAATCATGCTTGTTATACCAGATTTGTTTACATTAATTAATTACGTGTCATTTGTTCAATGGTTATCAGTTGGTGCTAGTATATTAGGTATGATATAATATAATATAATATTGATTATTATTATAATGAATTCTATACTCATATTTAAATTATTCATTATAGTTTGAACTTATATATATATATATATATATGCATTACGGGGTTGTGAAGATTGTTAAGTTACACAATTTTGAAACCATGAATCGATCAATGTTAGACACTACCATTAGAAGAAACCTGGAAGCACTGTAAGACGGCCATTTCGTCCTGGTATGAGACTACTCCTCAGCAGTGCGCATCCACGACTCCTGCACCCCGCATGATTCGAACCCAGGACCTTCCGTATTGTGCGCGAACGCCCTAACCGTGAATTTGATCAAGTTAGACATTAACACCGTCGGGTACGGGCTCAGTGGTCTAACGGTTAAGGCAACGCCAATAAGGAGTCCCATACCATGACGAAACGGCTGTCTTGCAGTGCTTCCAGGTTTCTAATGTTGGTCTAACATTGATCGATTCATGATTTCAAAAATGTGTAAATACATATATATATATATATATATATATATATATATATATATATATATATAGAGAGAGAGAGAGAGAGAGTTACGGAGATTGTTGTTTATTATTAAAATCATGCACCAATCATTAGAAATGAGGAAGCATTGGACCTTCGGTCTCTCATGCGAACAATTAACATGCGGACCGCTGAGAATCGAATTCTTGCAAGTAGCCAAAGTCGTGGATGCGCGCGGCTGATGAATTCCTATCCGGGACGAAACGGCTGTCCACGGCTGATAGGTTTCTAATGTTGGTTTAACAATGATTGGTTCATGATTTCAATAATCAGGTTCTTCGTGAGATATCAGCCAATTCTTTTTTTCAGTAATAAGCATTTCTAGCGTAAATATAAATTGTTGCGATACAATTGGCTTGGTTAAATAAATTAATAAAAAGGGCTTAACCAAATTAAATGTAAGCGAACTGGAATATAAGTGGAGGCACTGCAGTCTTTAAAGAAAAAAATACTCCACTTGTGGTGTGTGTACTTCATATTCACCATGATTAATTTTACAAATGTATGCGAGTACTGAGTTGAATCTTTGAAAATTAATTAAAAATACTTTTAATCTATGTAAGAAGTGAAGTGAAGTTGCCTGTTACTACCCCTCATGAAGCATAGGCTGCCGACCAGCATTCTTCAACCTACTTTGTCGGAGTTCTATTTCCCAGTTCTACCTAATCGCTGTTTATTCTTTTTATGCCTGTTTCCGATTCTTGTCTCAGTATGTTCCTTTTGGTTAGTACTTTTTAAAGCGTCGGTCGGATGGGTTCGCTGACCCCACCCTTCTGCCTTGTCCGGGCATGGGACCGGCAGTAACTCCAGAAGGTCTTCAAGTGGAGTCAGTTTGTACAAGAAAGTATAGCTACATGATCTGTGTAATTTGTAGTGTTTCAAAACTCTGTTTAGAACGATGAAAACATGAATTAATGCAACCTTATAACTTACTTCAATAGTGTATGACAAATTTTATATTTAGTTGTATAAGTGGAATCCAAAATAGGCATTTCGCCCCATTTTAAGACTTTATTACATTTCTGTTTGATATTCTATACATACATGTGAACTTTAAATGCAGGCATTCAATTTTATTGATTTATTGATTTTTCCTTAAAATATCTCTAGCAATGTTATATCTTCGTCATAGTCAACCTGATCTTCCAAGACCTATTCGTCTACCATTGATAATTCCTATTACATTTTTAATTGTTTGTGGATTCTTATTGATTTTCCCGGTATTTCATAAACCGAAAGAATTATTCACTGGTATAATTATGGTTTTATCTGGTATACCAATTTATTTAATTGGTATAACATGGAATCGAAAATCTGGTATATTTTTACAAAAATATCGTAAGTTAAAATTAATTAACATGTAATTTAGAAATATTCTTGTTGTTCATTTATGTTAAATTATCAATATATATATATATATATATATATATATATATATATATATATATATATTAGTGGCCTGTGGTTTTATTCCGAATATATATCCGTATATATGATAGTGTGGTGCTGTGGTGCAAACTACTTATAAGTAGTATATAGCGTGAGTGTCAACGTAAAGTCTGGTAGCATAATATGGGGGGAAGATCAAGAAAGGAAGAGTCAGAAAACAATGGAATTTGTATGAAACGCATGAAGAGTGACAATGGATTGATGTTTGGCAACAGGAACAGTCCAGTTCCATAGTATGAACTGATCTTTTGCAAATGAACGATTTACGATATGGTTTTCCGATTTTACTGAGTAACTCTGTAATTTTCGTTAAATACAATTCGGTTGCCTCCACCTGTGTTCTCATTCACTACATTTGGTGTCGCTGCCTACGCAAAGGATGAAGATTCCATGGCCGAAGGAGTTTGAAGACGGGGATGTGCGGGGCTTCCTGAAGGAGTTTGAGGCCGTGGCGGAGCTGGTGGGGGTGAAGGAACCGAAGGCGAAGCTGGTGGTGCTGGGGACGCTGCTGAGAGGAAGGGCGAAGGCCGTATATGACGGCTTGGACGGTGCTGGCGGGAAGACGCCATGGGAGGCGGTCGTTGAGCGGCTGATGACCGAGTTCGACAGCCCGGTGGACAGGGAGGAGGCGTTGCGGAAGTTCCGGTTGGCGAGGCTGTCGGCTGATGGTGACCCGCTGGTGCTCGCTGTGGAACTCAAAAGGTTGCTGCGCCGTGCGTTGCCGAATATCGATGAGGAGTCGGAGGCACAATTGTTGGCGTCGCAATTTATTGAGAGTGTGCCTGCCGCTGTGTCCCAGCAGCTGAGATTAGTAAATGCAGCACAACCTATGGACATCGGTGAACTGGCGAAGGTGACTCGTCAGCTGTTGACACGAACAGTAGCTCCGGTCGGGTGCGAAAAGCAGGAGATAAATACTTTCGAGAAGAAGATTGAGGAGTTAGAGCGTGAGATAGCAGCATTACGAGTAAATCATAAAAGGAACGATAAATGTTACGCTTGTGGAGAGGCAGGACATTGGAAGATAAACTGTCCAAGAAGACGACGACGACGATATTTTAAACATTATAACGTGTTTTCTTTCCACCCTAGGAATTGGGAGGTTCTTGCACTAGTAGATAGAGGGGCAATTTATGCCAGAGTGTACATAAATGAACGGGAGTTAGTGTGTTTGATTGATACAGGGGCAGCTATATCGTTAATAAGCAAAGAGCAATGTAAGACAATTAAACCATGTACATTAGCTGTCCACACCATAGGAGGGCATATGCTAGAGGTGTTGGGGGTATCTAACAGTATTGTAAAAATGAGTGGAGCTGAGATAAATTTTCCGTTCGTGGTAACCACAAGCTTATCGAGGCCGATATTAGGAGCAGATTTCCTAAGAGAGGTAAAAGCGATAATTGACTTGAGAAGCGGGAAAATGGTCACAAAGTACGGTTCATTGCCAATACATGAAAGTAGCGAAGTGGCTGAAATAAGGATGGCAACGGACGTCTCGACCAAGAAACCTAACGTTAACGAGTTATGCGCAAAGTATGCGAAACTGTTCACTGGAGATGGGGAGCCGTATGGATTTTGTGACAAAGTAAAGCATGAAATTCCTATAAAGAACGACCGAGTAAATATATTTACAACACGTCGTGTCCCAGTGCATTTAGAGGCCGAGGTAAATCGACAGGTCCAGGAAATGTTGAAGGAAGGTATAATTGAGGAAGCAGACAGCCCGTATAGCTCACCGGTACTCTTGGTAAAGAAACCCAATGGAAAGTATAGATTTTGCGTCGACTTTAGAGAACTGAATAATATAACAGACCTGAAACCGTGCGCAATGCCAACACTAGTAGAAACATTAGATCGATTACAGAATGCCACGGTGTTTACAGTGCTGGATTTACGGTCAGGTTATTGGCAACTACCTATAAAAGATAGCGATCGCAAAAAGACAGCATTTACTATACGGGATAAACAGTATCAATTTAAAAGAATGCCGTTCGGGTTGGCTGGTGCACCGTTCACGTTCAGAAGATTGATGACGCTGCTGCTTAAGAATCTAGATAATGTTGAGGTATATGGCGACGATGTAGTTGTATACAGCCTGACGGAAACAGATCACGTCAAGCATGTGGAAGCGGTCTTAAAGCGAATTGACGAATTTGGGCTTCGAATTAATAAGGAAAAGTCGCAGCTAGCGACAAACAGCGTCATATTGTTGGGACATAAAGTGGGAAACGGAGAAATAAAGCCATTACCAGAGAAAATTCTTACCATAAAAAATATTGCAGTACCTAATTCGAAAAGGAAGTTGAGACAGTTCCTGGGAAGAGCGGCGTTCTATAGTCGGTTTGTCAAGAATTTCAACGAAATAGCAGCGCCCTTATATAAGTTGCTGAGCAACACCAAGTTTACATGGACTGAGGCTGCCGAACAAACGTTCAACCGAATCAAAAACATGCTAGACGATCGTCAGATGACGCTGCGACTGCCTGAACCCGGTAAACTGTTTACAGTGGCCACAGATGCAAGTGATCATGGTATAGGTGCGGTATTGAGTCAGGCTGATAGAGTGGTGGAATACACAAGTCGCGTTCTCACACCCGCCGAACAGAAGTATTCAACGATCGAGAAGGAATGCCTAGCAATCGTGTGGGCAGTAGAGAAATGGAGACCGTACCTTTTAGGTAGACGATTTCACATCGAGACGGATCATAAGCCCCTACAATGGTTGAAAACAGCAAAAGACCCTCGGGGGAAGTTGGCTCGATGGATGCTACGTCTGCAGGAGTATGATTTCAGCATCGGGCATGTGCCAGGGGAGGAAAATGTAATGGCAGATTATTTGTCAAGACCGGACACCGAAGCCGAACTTCCAGAGATAGCGTGTGCAGTTAACGGCCTAGAGGGAGACCCCGTAGAACTCGTCCGACATCAGAAAGCCGACCCTAACCTTCGGGAGGTAATCAGAGTGATAAGAGAGGGAGAAGATGTTGACAAGAGTAGAACAGATAAAGAATTAACAGTGTTGCTGAGGCAGAAGGAGAGACTGAGAGTGAACGGATACGGAGCCTTGACCTGGCGGGATGATGACGAGAATTGGGTAGCAATAATCCCAAAAGATCTGCGCCAGGAGATGATTCGTGAATGTCACCAGGTAGCGCATACAGGTATTGCACGGACAACTGATTTGCTGCGACAAAGTGCGTACTGGCCAGGTATGAGAGACGATGTTGCACGATATGTATTAGCGTGCCAGCGATGTCAACTAATGAAAGGAGATCGATGCATACGACCGCCATTGCAGTCAATTCCAGTAACAGCAGTTGGTGATTTGTGGTCAGTAGATGTTATGGGACCGTTCCCGCAGACGACAAGTGGTAACCAGTACCTGCTGGTGATGACTGAGCATGCCACACGATGGGTAAATGCCGTGCCGATGGCGGACCAACGTGCAAGGACGGTGACGGAAGCGGTAATGCGGCACATTGTGGCGGACCATGGGATACCAAAGATAATATTAACCGATCAAGGTCCCTGTTTCGAGAGTGATGAGTTCAAGTCCCGTCTAAAGCAGTTAGGTATCAAGAGAGTACGAACAACGCCGTATCATCCACAGACGAATGGGTTAACGGAAAGGAATAACCGAACGCTAAAGGAATGGCTAGCATCTAAAGGGGGTGACTGGGAGAAAGAATTACCATTAATCTTGCTGGCACATCGTGCCTCGGCACAGGGAACAACCAGGAAGTCACCGTTCCAGCTGATGTACGGCAGACGGCCGAGACTACCAACGCATGATAAAACCTGGCCGCAACAACAGAGATGGAATACAACAAGATTGAGAACAGAGCGGAGACAAGCAATCAGGAATGTGAGAGAGAAACAAACATCAGACATGGAAAAGTCAGAACAGGAGAGAAAGAACTGGAGATTGTTTGAAGTGGGAGATCAGGTGAAGTGTAGAGAACGGAAATATACCACAGGAAGAGGGCCAGGGTCAGGTAAGCTGATCCCGAAGTGGGAGGGACCGTACGTCGTCACCGAGAGGCGCGGCGCAGTGTATACGATCCAGAAAGGAAACAAACAGAAACGCGTGAATGCCAGTGAACTCCAAAGGTGGTTCCAAGTGCGCCAAGAGGGCGAGCCACAAACACTGATGAGGAAGACGGCTGTACGGAGATCAGAAAGACTGCGACGACAGCTTATTAAAAGGGGGGACGAGTGTGGTGCTGTGGTGCAAACTACTTATAAGTAGTATATAGCGTGAGTGTCAACGTAAAGTCTGGTAGCATAATATGGGGGGAAGATCAAGAAAGGAAGAGTCAGAAAACAATGGAATTTGTATGAAACGCATGAAGAGTGACAATGGATTGATGTTTGGCAACAGGAACAGTCCAGTTCCATAGGATGAACTGATCTTTTGCAAATGAACGATTTACGATATGGTTTTCCGATTTTACTGAGTAACTCTGTAATTTTCGTTAAATACAATTCGGTTGCCTCCACCTGTGTTCTCATTCACTACAATAGTACTTAGAGAAACTCTGGTTGTGTGACGGCGACAATAAGAAGCCGAAATACAGATTCAATTAGATGAGTTTATTTCATTACCATCGCTCACGCAGACAGACATGAGAAGTGAAAAGTGTACGAGCAAAGCAAAGCAAAGCGAGACGGAGAAGGTGAGTGAACCAACTCAAATGCGTTGAAGTATGACTAAGTTTTCATAGTCTGGAAAAATAATCAGCTACACATGTAATAAGCGAGTAAGCATGTACGCAACACACTCGAAATATACAATAGTCCGTGTAGTGAAGAAGAACACAGACGAGGGCAACCGAATTGTATTTAACGAAAATTACAGAGTTACTCAGTAAAATAGGAAAACCATA